GTTTTCATTCATATTTCAAAATTTGATGAAAGCGTGTCTCTTGAAGAAACGATAATGAGGGAAAAAATGTCAAAATCGAAGAGAGTGTACTTTTCATAAGAGAATATTCAATATATACAATATACATAAGTTCATATCATAGAAATTAATTCTTTTGATCAATTGAGTTATCAAATGGAAAACTGATGTTGCAGATATTTCAATATGCAGAGTTATCTGCTCTTGTTAGCAGGCATTGATTGTTACCTCATTTGTTTATGATAATAATGTCACGAGTAAACAACATATTTTCTCTCATTAACTAATGGCATAACAATTAATACCTGCTCACAAGGGCAGATAACTCTTCATTACGAAACGACAAAATACACAGAATAATATCAATCCTTGTGGTGATTTATCGGTAAGTCTCTTAAATAAATAACTTCTGTACGTAATTTACTGATATACAGGTGATCTGTGTTATCATCTGTAGATCTACCTGCCAACGTAAATATTCTAGGTCATTATTGCATAATAACGATATTAGAAACAGATCATTACGATAAATCTCCATAAAATTTGAATACTCTTATATTCTTTTTACATCAGTTCTGGTTATCACTGCACTAAGAAGAGATTGAGGAATGCTCATCATTTGATATACAATAACTGATTAAGATGCAAATTGTTTTCTCTGTTCTTTAAAATGTTTGTATGGGGGTAGAAAAGCTACATAGTGTCTGTGACGTACAATCATGGGAAAGAACTCCTGGATATTTTTAGTGAGCATGATTTACAATTATTTACAGTACGAGATAATTTATCAGTTTAAACCAAGCACATTATCACACAATATATCTGTGTTACTCCAGTGTCAATATTCTCAGGATATTCTTCAGAACTGATAGAGAAATTCTCAGAAATGTTCAATATTTCACCATAGGTAAAAAGGAGATTTCCAACCTTGTAGGTTGTATATCCAGTTAGCTCACTGTCAGTTGTCATCAGGATGTTGTCAAACTTTATTGTGTGAGTATTCTGTGGATGCAATATTCATCACTATAACTATTATTGTGATGATTATAATTTTGTTAATATCTATCAACTTTGTAAGATTGAAGAGAAAATGTTTTGTGAAAATCAAAAGAACATCTTCAAATAATTCATATGATGATGTTCTTTATGAGAAAGTAATGATGCTTGTTTGATTTCTTAAACCAAAAGGCGCTTCCATAGAAAAGAAAATGTGTCATATAGCAGGGCAAAATACGTTACTTCTCTGGGTGACAGGCCTCCTGTATGTTGTTCAGTGAGGTAGTACTACCAGGTGGTTGCTACAATGTAATCCCGTTCTCAGATCCCAACTGCTGTCCAGCTTTTATTGTACTGGTGAGAGGAAGGGCAGTAGTGTGGGAGATCAGAATGTATTACCTTGGCTGTTGATGGGACGATAACAGCAGACAAATTTGATTTGTAGTATGAAGCTACTAGACCAAAACAATCCGGTCTCTGAAATCTTAAATTTTTCTTCTTATATCATAGGATTTTATGCTGATTTTTATTTTCTTCACATTTTCATTTTCTAAAGCAGCAGATAATGAGAAAGCTGGAAAAAATTCAGCATACAAATGATGAAATAGGATATAATGTTTTAGAGGCTAAAACATTCCGCCTTTGAAACTACCAGAATTGAATATGTGGATGCAGTGAAGATATATAAAGGGTGTACGTAACATGAGTTGATGGGTTTAAGACATTTTAAAAATTTGTAGGTGAAAGTTCTACCAAGTACGTGACATTTTGATCTCAGTAGTGTTATTGTTGTTGTGACATTTTGAAGCCAATGTATAATTCATGATGAGAGATGGTATTAATTCAACCCTCTCTGAATGCTGTTAGATTAAATACTTCTAATTTCATTTGACACTTAAATGTAAATAAATCAAAATAAGATTGATGTTTATATAGTTCTGTGAAAACTAATTGATTTGAAGGCATCATAATAAAGCATATTAGGAATTTTTCATATTTTTTGTTTTGAGAATAAATGAAAAATACATTTATAAATATAGTTTTCTGTCCGTTGATTTGACAGCAGCCTATGTCTTCTTGTAAAACAGAAAAAAAACCACTTTGGTGAGGGGAAACAGCCTTTTTTCTATTGTAAAACAGAAAAAAAACCACTTTGGCGAGGGGAAACAGCCTTTTTTCTATTGTAAAACAGAAAAAAAAACACTTTGGCGAGGGGAAACAGCCTTTTTTCTATTGTAAAACAGAAAAAAAAACCACTTTGGCGAGGGGAAACAGCCTTTTTTCTATTGTAAAACAGAAAAAAAAACACTTTGGCGAGGGGAAACAGCCTTTTTTCTATTGTAAAACAGAAAAAAATCATTTTGGCGAGGGGAAACAGCCTTTTTTCTATTGTAAAACAGAAAAAAAAACCACTTTGGCGAGGGGAAACAGCCTTTTTTCTATTGTAAAACAGAAAAAAAAAACACTTTGGCGAGGGGAAACAGCCTTTTTTCTATTGTAAAACAGAAAAAAAACCACTTTGGCGAGGGGAAACAGCCTTTTTTCTATTGTAAAACAGAAAAAAAAACACTTTGGCGAGGGGAAACAGCCTTTTTTGCTATTGTAAAACAGAAAAAAAAACACTTTGGCGAGGGGAAACAGCCTTTTTTGCTATTGTAAAACAGAAAAAAAAACACTTTGGCGAGGGGAAACAGCCTTTTTTGCTATTGTAAAACAAAAAAAAACCACTTTGGCGAGGGGAAACAGCCTTTTTTGCTATTGTAAAACAGAAAAAAAAACACTTTGGCGAGGGGAAACAGCCTTTTTTTCTATTGTAAAACAGAAAAAAAACCACTTTGGCGAGGGGAAACAGCCTTTTTTCTATTGTAAAACAGAAAAAAAACCACTTTGGCGAGGGGAAACAGCCTTTTTTGCTATTGTAAAACAGAAAAAAAACCACTTTGGCGAGGGGAAACAGCCTTTTTTCTATTGTAAAACAGAAAAAAATCATTTTGGCGAAGAGAAACAGCCTTTTTTCTATTGTAAAACAGAAAAAAATCATTTTGGCGAGGAGAAACAGCCTTTTTTCTATTGTAAAACAGAAAAAAAAAACATTTTGGCAAAGGGAAACAGCCTTTTTTCTATTGTATAACAGAAAAAAAATCATTTTGGCGAGGGGAAACAGCCTTTATTCCAATGTAAAACAGAAAGATATCACTGCAGAGAAAAATGAAACATCAAATTTGATTTAAATAATCTGACCAAGATACTGATGCTGGATTGATTCTTAAAGACATTTCATAAAGTGGGGTTCTAAATAATTAGTATTACAAAAATCTTTCTTAAATTGATTTTTAGAATTATGTACAAATAAATGTGTTCACCAGTTTTTGTTAAGTGTAATCAATATCAAGAATGGATGTGCCATCATTTAACATTGATGTAAGCGGCATTTTGTAATATTTGTAGTAAATATTATTGTTGTGGTTTTGTAAAACTATCACATGCCAAAAATTATCATTCAATTAAATTAAAAGGATTAATTAATTAACTTTTTTAATTGCAAAATATATAATAGATGAATATTTCTGTTTTTCACCTGTTAAATCTCTATAATTTTCTTATTTCAATTTTTATCTTAAAATCCTTAAATATTGGATAGCTTTAAATCAACCCTATAAACATCATGAAGCTTCTCTGTAGATGGAAGTTGTAAGTTATAGAATTGTTCCCTCCACCCACTCTTCATTTAAAGAAAGGTGTATTTATTTCCTACACACAAACAACATCTGTGTTGAATTCTCTAAAGAACCAGTCTATGTTAACAGATGCCTTATAAGAGTGCAGATATGTCAACAGTGACTTGTTTATAACCAGCTGTACACAAATTCTTTTCCAGCCATGATAAATCTGAGACATCAATCTTAAAAGTGTTACTGTATAAACAGTGGTGTTTTAGTATCACTGCAATATGTTGTGATTGCTTGTTGATTTGTTATCGTCAGCATATTTTTGAAGTATTTAAAAGTAATGTCACAGGAGTTATCTCCCTTAGATCTCTTGGTATGAATGTGGCTTGTGAATTTACTAAACACAATCAATGTAGCATTACTGAAATTTGAAATCAGAAAAAGTTTTTTGGAAAACAGAATTCAGATTTTGAATTTTGATACAAATTGATTATGATATTGTAAGTTGGAATCTTAGAACATGTTTACATAATTATTTTATGTCATGGTAGCAGACAGCAATTCTTATTAGTTGATGTTTGAGGTGGTTTTTTTTTGTTTTATAAGTCAGTAAAATGATCATTAATGTGAAATGAATAATTATTAATGCCTGATTTTTCTCTCTAAGTGTTTTGAATTTGTTTAATATGAGTATAAACTATGTACATAATTTGTCACTAATTTGTGTATATCATTTCTGTGTATAATTTGTGTGTATATTTGTGTATAATTGTCACTAATTTGTGTATATCATTTCTGTGTATAATTTGTGTATATCATTTCTGTGTATAATTTGTGTGTATACTTGTGTATAATTGTCAATAATTTGTGTATATCATTTCTGTGTATAATTTGTGTGTATATTTGTGTATAATTGTCACTAATTTGTGTATATCATTTCTGTGTATAGTGTTACCACCTCCAAACATCCAATGAGAACACTGTGTATATTTGTGTATAATTGTCAATAATTTGTGTATATCATTTCTGTGTATAATTTGTGTGTATATTTGTGTATAATTGTCAATAATTTGTGTATATCATTTCTGTGTATAATTTGTGTATATCATTTCTGTGTATAATTTGTGTATATCATTTCTGTGTATAATTTGTGTGTATATTTGTGTATAATTGTCACTAATTTGTGTATATCATTTCTGTGTATAATTTGTGTGTATATTTGTGTATAATTGTCAATAATTTGTGTATATCATTTCTGTGTATAATTAGTGTATATGATTAATATACATAATTTGTATATAATTTGTGTATTTCCAGTTCTTGAACCAGTGTTACCACCTCCGCCACAGTTTGAAAATGACCTGTTTACCAAACCGCCACCTCCTGTTGTCGTAACGCCCATCCAAACATCCAATGAGAACACTCGTTTAAACAATAACCAGCCGCAAAACCAGGAAAAGGAAACTAGAGGTGAGGATTTTATACTTTCTTTTTACCTCGTATCTAGAATTCAGTTTTCACAGACCCCTCTCTCACCTTCTTGTATTTCCTCATACACCTGTTCTCCCTCACCTACTGATAATATTTCATATAAACCATTCCCACCAAATAATATTTCTACAGACTCAGTCCCTCACCTAATTAAATATTACCCTCTCTCACCAACTGATATTTGTAAATATCACCCTCCCTCACCCACTACTATTTCCAAAAACCCTCTCTCCTCACCTACTAATATTTCCACAGACCCATCTCCCCCACCCCTACTAATATTTCCACAGACCCCTCTCCCCTACCCCACTAATATTTCCATAGACCCGGTCCCTCACCCACTAATATTTCCACAGATCCTCTCCCCACCCCCACTAATATTTCCACAGACCCTCTCCCACGCCTTCTAATACTTCCACAGACCCTCTCCTCTAACCTAGTAATATTTCCACAGACCCCGTCCCTCACCCACTAATATTTCCACAGACCCCATCCCTCACCCACTAATATTTCCACAGACCCCTCTCTCCCCACCCCCACTAATATTTCCACAGACCCCTCTCTCCCCACCCCCACTAATATTTCCACTACCCTCTCCTCTAACCTAGTAATATTTCCACAGACCCCGTCCCTCACCCACTAATATTTCCACAGACCCCATCCCTCACCCACTAATATTTCCACAGACCCCTCTCTCCCCACCCCCACTAATATTTCCACTACCCTCTCCTCTAACCTAGTAATATTTCCACAGACCCCGTCCCTCACCCACTAATATTTCCACAGACCCCGTCCCTCACCCACTAATATTTCCACAGACCCCTCTCTCCCCACCCCCACTAATATTTCCACTACCCTCTCCCCACCCCTACTAATATTTCCACAGACCCCTCTCCCCCACCCCACTAATATTTCCACAGACCCCTCTCTCCCCACCCCCACTAATATTTCCACAGACCCTCTCCCCACCCCCACTAATATTTCCACAGACCCCCTCCCTCACCTATTAGTATTTCCACAGACCCTCTTCCCTCACCTACTAATATTTCCACATATTTCCCAACAATTTGGTTTTTCCTGACACCCTAGTGCTATACCATCTTTACAAATAGCCACACAATTTATATACCACAACAGGAATTATTAACACTTCAAAGCCATATAATTACAAAGTGTTAATTTCTGCTGTTAATTGCCAGGTAAGTGTGATGAAGATAAATTACAGGTAAAAAAAAACTGGTTTGTTGATTTCTTGTTTACAATACGTCAATCACTCAGGTTTAGAGTACTGCCCAAAGGTGTGAGTAGTTCTAGTAATTTGTCTCAGACAGGTGAAAACACAATGCTTTCAATAGGAATATAAGATAATCACATCTACACCACAAACATGGGGCACTAGGGAAAATTACTTACTGTTTATTTTTTTTTATTACTACAAAATTAAAATATAAATTGGTTTAAAAAAGACAAAATAGTCTTATAAGGTTTCTCCTTGGTGTAGGTGTATTATTCTCTAGAATTATCAGCTTTTTAAATTATTATTTTTATTTCTCTTGTGTACCCCTTTTGGAGCCCCAGTTCCTGTTATATGTTGTGAAGGTACATGTATGAGGGGTAAAAAATGGTATAACAATAATTTGTTAAGGTCAGTGCCAGCTGAGTCCTGTCCCTGTAAAAATGGGGAATCTTTTACGGATATTTAGCTTCAAGGATCCACATTTGGAAAAGTCTCCGATTTATGTTCAACAGAATTTTACAACAATTTGTAAATCTTGGAGTTTAATATACCAAGAACAATGTGGAAGATATGTTGTAAAGGAATTGAATCTCCGAGGTAACAATTTGTATCTGTGGTAAAAGAGCAATTTTATTATTGGTGATTTTTATATCAAATTTATTAATTCAACTTCTAAAACATTTGAAATATAAAGAATGTAAGTATTTCATGGAAACCTGTTAAGTTTTAGTATTCATTAATTAAAAATTAAAGCTATGAAAAATTCTAATTTTAATGTATATCAGAATTGAAGTATAATCATCGAAAAATTGTTGATGAAGAATTCTTGTGTGAGCAGTTAGAAATATCAATTAATACCGACACAATAACATTTAAATATTTCTTTCATTTTATTCAGAATTAAGTTGAATCCTCAAAACACTTGCACATTTCCATGCTGGTAATTAGCACTATAATTGGTGGGCTAGTGGTTTTGGTACCAGGTTGATTGGTACTTCCAAAATAAATCATTTCGTACTTTAAAAAATGTTTTGATTTATGTATTTAATTAAGTTTTTTAAGGTGTTTTTTGTCATTTGTAAATATTGCTCATTCCGTTTCTGAAAAACTGTTCACTAAAAAGACACTCAAGCTGTGTAAACCATTTTGGAAGTACTGAAACAACTGGGTGCCAAAATGACTGGAATTCATATTATTGTACCCGAGCAATATAAATGTTTTCATATACATCACTGTATTGTACATATATCAAAAAATTCAATTCTTACATAGATGCATAGATAGACCTTGATCATTTTGTACTTTGACTTTGAACTTTGACTTTGGTCTAAAGGTCAATATCAAGGTCACTGTTACAATAAATAGAAAATTGTTGAAATCACTGTTTCCCAACAAAACCACAAATTTCTTTCTACCATGACATTTACTTTAGATTCAAGTAAAATGGCATGGTCACACTTATTATCAATAGAAAATTGGTTTCCAAGACTCACAACACAAGCTAATTGTTAAGATTGAATAAGAGCAAACGACAGTAAGTAGCAGCTGCCTGCTAACATATAACTTACTGGGGATTCCTTACTGATGTAATAGACCAAAGGAAAAGGTCACTCTTACTATAAATTAGAAAAATGTATCCATCATAAAAAGTTTACTTGGTGTAAGGTTACTAAAAATACCTGTACCAACACTCACCTCTTTACAATGATACCTCTCTACAAAGACACCTGTTTATAATGACAGCTCTTTACACTGACTTTTGATTTTCAGATATATACAAGGAAGCCTTCCTCTCAACAAAAGATGCAGAAGAAAAGAAATTTGAGACACGCTTCAGTGGTTTGTTGTCTGAACTTCACCTGTCTCTCCAGAACCAATCTCCCAACGGCGTCACCTACAACACATCCTGTATGTAAATTTTTACTTTTTAATCTCATGAAATATTAAAAAATAATCCCAGAAACAAGAAAACAAGTGCTTTACAACAAAAAAGGAGAATAAACTAGAAAAAAGTCAAACTTCAAGCCATTTCATGATATAAAATTCACCTTTTATCAAATATTTCCATAAAACATATTAAAACATGTTGATTATTTTTTCTATAAAGACTGTAAATTTGAATTATTTGATTCCAGATGGAGGGGTTATGGTTAATTACACAAGTCGACTGCGTGAACTATTGGTAGGCGTATCACAACGATTGGAATTGGCAATCGACAGTAAGTGTTGTAGCTGTATACTGTGAGACGATGAATTAAAAAAATTTAAAACCAATAATATTTAAATAATTTTAGTTTGGAAATTCTCTGAAAAAAAAAATTCTTCATGGATTTCTGAAAAAAAAATTTCAAATGAAACAACATTTGACAGGACCAGGGACATATAATACATAGGGATAAGATTGCCAGTCGTGACTTCTCTGGTATTAGCTTTCGTGTTTGTTCACTGAGCTGTGAAGGCTTGAAGTCCCCTCTTCTGACTTCTGTTATTTAACCTTATCTACCTGTGCGCCAGTGATCTACTGATGCTCCCAAGATGTGTTAGTGTGGATTAAGCACTGACCACAGCCATTTTGTCGGCTAGTGAGAAATGGATCTCATTTTCGTAACAAAAAGAATTATAATAATAAATAGCAGTAACATATCAGAGAAGTTACATGAGTCAGTCGGAAAATTATTCAACTTTTTAATGCCGTTAATTTAGAGATGATTTCTCAATATTTTTGGCAGAAAGTGGTAAACAATATATATATATTCATATGTAAATAGCTAAAACATGCATTTTGTCGTTTAAATATAAAAAATTAACAAAATTTGTCACAAAAGTTCGCACAATCAATTTGAAAATTACTAGATTTTCTAATATTGCTTGATGTTGAACAGATTAAATGCATACTTTGGGAGACAAAGGATTTATAAAAACAGCAAGGCTAGTTAACTTTTCTTGCTGCAGTGATATGTGTATATATAGATAGTTTCTCATCCCTCTGTATTATACGTCCCTGTCATGAAGGCGGCATTATCTTGAAGTAACTTTAATTTATTTTTTAAAATGAAAATAAACCCTTTTCTGAACAGTCAGACAATTTGAGAAAAAATCTTTTACAGTTTCTGGCAGAAACAGTTAGTTAAGATAAGATTTTGAATTTATAAAGACCCAGTATGGAAAACTATTATTTTTATTTATTTGTTTTCATTTCAATAGGTTTTGATAATAATCCTAACCAGTCAACAGAAGCTACATCGGACAAAGTTCGACATCTAGTTTCAAAACTTGTAGAAAACAGTCTTGGAGAGTCCATCGATTTGGTAAGTTGATAACATGGAGTCCATATACTTAGGAGGCAAAAGTCATAGAAAACGGTCTTTTAGAGTTCAGTAACTTAGTTGTCAAAAGTCATAGAAAACGGTCTTTTAGAGTTCAGTAACTTAGTTGTCAAAAGTCATAGAAAACGGTCTTTTAGAGTTCAGTAACTTAGTTGTCAAAAGTCATAGAAAACGGTCTTTTAGAGTTCAGTAACTTAGTTGTCAAAAGTCATAGAAAACGGTCTTTTAGAGTTCAGTAACTTAGTTGTCAAAAGTCATAGAAAACGGTATAATAAGGAGCATTAAATTCCTCAGGGAAAATATTAACTTATTTCATTGTTGGTAACTGTAGAGAAAAGTCCTACTCGTTATTACCGTCATTATGATTCTTTTTAATTGGAATCTTTTGAAATTCCTTAACTCCTTGATTTGGCTGGTAAATCAGCATTTAATATTAAATAATGCAGTACACAAACAGTGAAAGCATGGTGTATTAAAAATGTTATATCTCATTCAAATTCAGTTTGTGACTCCTAGCATGGTAGATATTAACTTGGGGAACCAACAAAAAATTATTTAGTGAAATTTATATAAATCTACTTCAGGCCCAGGAAAGTGAACTTTATTGTTACTTTCATTTGCCTTATCAACGTTCTGTCATTGAATATTCTTATAAAGATTTTTTTTAAACAATAAAATTTCCCAGCAGTTTTTATCAGAAATACTTGCTTTTAAATGCAAACAATTCACTTCAACATCTGGATGTTTACAAAAAAATAAAGTCAAGTCTGATTTAAGTTGTATTGATTGACTGTGAACTAAAGTTAAAGAGTTTTAGTTCTGAATTTAGAATCAAAATTGAAATCTTGAAAAAATTCTTCAGTAAGTATGTAGATTACAAAGTTAATGTTGATGTCCTACCACACAAACAAACAGGGGAAACAACTCTAACTAGTGTATCAGGCACCCACTCAAACTGAGAAATGTTGACACTAGAGATAAGACCTTTTCACTCCACAGATAGCATGGGATCATTTGATATCATATATCAATTTGTCCTACAGTATGAAACTCAATATAAACCGGTATTCTTTCCTGAAGTTTTTCAATAGAACTGATTGCAGGTGTGACAGGGTTTGAAATTTATTTTAACCTTAATTGAAATGGTTATAAATAGAATCAAATAAGAACTTGCATCCTAATAAAATTTCTCATGAAGATATACAGTTATTGGATAAGTAAAGTGACATTTTTTAGTTAATGTGTTAGGTATATACATACACACTGTAGTCTTTAAACCCAATATTTATATGCTCAATATGAAATGCAAAATTTTAAACTTTAGAGAATTTTCAAGAGATATTTCTCATGCAGGGTTTTTAAATGTTACACGCTGATTCATAAAACATGTCAACGAAAGAAAAATCTACTGCAAACACCAAATGTTGTATGAATACCAGGGTATTAGGATTTTGGTAAAGATCATGGCTCTGGGTCAGATAAATGTTTGTAATCTATACTTGGCTATCAGAGACAGTGATAATTTACCAGGTGCCATATAAAATGATATCGCTTGAGTGAAGTCAGAGTAAAATGAACAGAGTAAGCCTTTGGTCAACATTTGCAGACTTAAAACACCTTGGAAAATATTTCACTCACGGTAAGTTGGTCTTCAATGTGGTCAACTGAAAAAAATCACAGCTGTAAAAAATTACTTGGAGGTTTTGATAATTAGATCTAATTTAGCTTTTTGTGTGATTGTGTACAAGTGAAGTACTGTGATAAAGGAGCATTACAGATGGAGACACTTTTCTTAACAATTGGACAGTTTATTTAAGTATTATGGCCCAGTAATAGTTTGAATCGGGGACATAGGTTAGAAAATATTTTGTTTATACAAATCTATGTCCCAAAAGTGAATTTATACACTAAACTACAGCAGATTTATAATTTTTTGATTAAATCTATGTCGGAAATTTTACTCTATTGATTAACACTTTTGTTTTCTCTATCAGACATCAGATGAGGCAGTGTCAGATTTATCATCGCTTTCCGACGAGGATTCTGAAGGTCACAAATCATTTGAGGATCAGCTTGCTCAGGCAGTTATCACTAAGGTAATTTATTTTGGACTGTGTCAAACTTACGTAAATTTCCCAGCAGTGTACTAAATACAATTCTATAAACATCAATATTGATTACTGAAATTTTTTTAAAATCTGAAATTTAATGAATCTGATGTAAAATGTGAAACATTTGAATAACATTAATCAGATCTGTGCATTTTTAAACAAATCAGGAATTATTATCTTGATTAAATCAGAAGCGTGAAATCTTGACACTAAGTCCATGTCTGGTAATAAGCCCATTCAGGTGTATTGTTCCTTGGTGACAATCAGATATAACATTATCATTGGTCTAGCTGTAACTGACTCACCTCTTAAAGCCTCCCCCTCCTCGCCCTCCTCTCCCTCCACCCTCCTCCTCCTCTGCCCCCTCCGCCCCCTTCTCGCCCTCCGCCCTCCTCCTGCTTCATTCATTCATGCTTGGGTTATTGCAGGATAAATACAGTATTTATGTAGTTGATATATTTTTCTATTTTGATGTTGACAGGTTTTAGAAAATCACAGAAAAGAAGCAGGATTAGAATCATTGAGACAGCCCCTTCAGGCTGGTGTTGAGGAAAGAGGTCATAAGGACTCAGTGTTAAGTTCAAGTACTATTGATCAGGGTCACGGAGACTCTTTACAAAATTCTGACACAGATCAAGGACAGGCAGAATCATTACATGAGGATGAAGTCGATCATCTTAGTCCACAGAATTCATTCTTAGTGATTGATGAGCATGTGACAGAGGACAATACAGAGTTCAAAGGTCACCAAGAAAGAACAAGTGATTTCACAGACTATGTAATTCGGAGTGACTCAACTTACGATAAAACAAGATCTGAAAGTGAGGTCAGAGGTCGTTACAATCAAAATAGTGAAAAACTCCAAGATAGTGTTAGACCTTCAAATGTAAAACAGTACGAAGATTGCAAAGACCTTTTAAAGGAAGAGTCAGGGTTCAAAGGTCTCACAGTTCACCAAGTTGATAAAGAGGTCAGGGATGATGAAGTTGTAGGTAAAGACAACAAGGTCAAATTTCAAAATAAAAGTTCTAGTGGAGACTTTCCTGAGATAGTTGCAGAGGAAAGTTTTGATAAGAAATATAAGAAAGAGGATGTGATCGAGGAGGAGTTTGTTCAGGAAGAAAATTTGACCCAGGAAAGTGTTGATGAAAAACAACCTGTTGATCCAGTTCAAGAAATACAAAAACTGAAGTCCTTTTTGAGTGATCTCTCTCCACGACCACAAGTACGAAAAGTAATATTAGAGGATGAAACATGCGATGTTGAGGAGCCGTTGATTGAACCTGAACTGGTCCATCGAGAGGAAAGCCAACTTGACTTTCTTACAAAGTGCACGTCCATCAATCATGCACATGAACACACTGTGTCTCTTCCCGACTTTGATGTCTCAGATTTTGAGTTAAATTCTAACGAAATTGATCCAGATCTGTTATCAATGAATCTCGCTCCAATTCTTGAGGAGGATGAAGAGGGCGAGGAGGAAGAGGATGAGGAGGGGGAAAAGGTGACAGACTGGCGTGGGAACTGGATATTTAAGGGAAATTCCTTTGTCTCCCCATATGCAAATATGGGCAGGAAACATGTCGGCGAAGAATTGGGTCAAATCTATATGACTATTCCTGAACCATATCAGGAACTGGCGCCGCGGGTCGGCAACAGGTAAAGTTTTTTTAAGACATCAGGTAAATTAGGTATTTATTTGTTATGTAATGATGATTTACACTAGGTATTTTTACAGGAGTTAAGGCCCTTATGAACTCTTATGTGTTGACGAGCCATAAAGACTGTAACAATAATGATACTTGAGTAAAGATATCCTGTGTGACATTACTTTTCACCGGCAACTATTCCTCAATATATATTCTTATATAAACAATATTCAAAAGAAAACGACAAATTGTGGATGAGTGTTATGTAATGATGACTTATTTACGGAGTTTTTGGATTTCATTAAGTTCACATTATTGTCTTAGAGGATATGACTTTGGCTGAGCCTGTTACAGATTCTGTTTCTCAGTTCCATGGATTATGTGTTTTTTTCCAGGAGTTATAGTTCGATTCACACATCTGAGGGAGGGTAAGAATGCTGTGCAGCATTTGGTGTCACAGATTTCAAAACAACAGTTTTAGTTCGGAAGTCTTTCATTTCATCCTTTATATCTACTATTTACTACACTGTCATTACAGATGTTAAATTCGTAGTTAAGTTAAGGAGTGGGCTTATTATAATATAGTAAGTCCAGAGTGTCTTTACTCATTGTCAGGGATAGAGCTTATTACAGGACAATAAGCCCATGCTGAGGGCTACTACATCACCTCTAACTCAATGTCAGGGGGTGGGCTTATTATGGGACCTAAAGCTTAGAGGGTCAATACGTCAGCTCTGACTCTAGTCAGATGATTGGTTATTGGTTAAAAAGACGGCAGTAGAAAGGGTGGGCTTATTACCAGACATCAGCTAATCACCAATACTGTAGGTATATGTAATGAAATGAAAGATCTGCCTTTGATTGATTTTAAAGTCTAGATATTGGACTTATCAGCTACATTCTAAATTAGTTTTTTCATCACCTTAAACATGCATGCCTTTAAAGTATTTGTAGTAGTTACTTGCCCTTTACTTTAATCGTCTGGTTTTCTGCTGGTGAATTCTGGGTAATGGTTTGACCATCATCAAGATTTTTTGGTTCAAAATCCAGCTTATTTATTTGTCAAAATTTGTCTTCAAGTCCAGTGATTGTTTTTATTTCAATTTTGCGGTTGGAATGGTTTATCCAATGGATGGAGGGGTTGTGGGTAGAAGAAATACTCAATTGAAGAAAAGGAGGAAGAGGGATTATACCATTTGGGAAAAGGGGTGGAAAGGGGTGATACTAATTGGGTTGAGAGCAGAGGGAATATTTCATATAAGAAAAGAGGGTGGATGGATTATACCACTAGATGGAGGGGTGATGAGGAGTTATACCCTTGGAGAAAAGTTAAGGGGTGGAGTGTACTGAGAGTGGAGAGAAAGAAATCTTAGGGAAAGAAGGTGAAAGGAATATACCAATGAGGGGAGGGATAGAAGGTAGAAGGATTATACCATATAGCAAAATGACTGTGAAGGGGTCATACCAATGTGAATGGAAGGGGTGAAAGGTGTGGAGAATATACTATTAGAGAAGAGAAGGTGAGGGGAATTTATCTAGTTGTGGGCGTATGAATTAGTTATTCGGTGGGCATTACATTGTATGATTGTACTGGGATGGTGTCAGGTTCATGTGGTTCTCACAAATCCTTAAAACCAGCAACTCAGATAACTAAGTATTATAATGGCATCGTTTATCAGGCAAATTTAAATAGATTTAGTCAATCATCTATGTACTTAAAGAGTAAAAGAGAAGGTGGTGGTCTAGCTTAAGTTATCAACTGAAAGAATCTTTATTAAGATTAAAATTTTTAAAATTGATCTGTTCTATGTGGGCAAAGTTTTTAGTCCTTGATACAAGTTTTTCCTACTCTCCGCTTTAGAGGATTTAAATCTTATGATATTTTATCTGATTGAAATATATAAATAAATGTCTGCATGCCATTTTTCTTTAATGTAGTGAGAAACTAGTGTTGGCTAGAAAAACCTGTGTAATTGGACATTGTAAAGAACTAATTAGATTTTCTTGTTGTAGTTTACATCTGATTTAGGTTGACGAGTTACCAAATTATTTTTAGACTTTAAAACTGAATTTCATGATGTATAAGAATCTGAAATTTACATTATTATAGAAAAACAAAAATGAAATTTCCTGTCTCAACACATTTTGTGTGAAAATTTCTTTATGGAACTAGTTTCATCAAGTCAGCCTCCATTTTTTATTTTAGAAACATGCAATGCTCTTACAATGTTGTATTAAAATTTGATAAGTATGTCAAAGTTGAAAAGAAAGAAAAGTTTTTTGATAAAAATCTATTGGATTTATTTGACAGGGAAGCAAATGCTATTTTTTCGGACCTCTCCGATAACGACGATGAAAATGAGGACAATTTAAGTGATGAAGAAAATTCATTTTACGCCAAAACATCAGAGGAGATTGCCCGAATAACAAGGAAAGGCTCATTTTCACAATCAGTGCAGACAGATGACTCTGACCTTGACACCTCAAGAGATCAATGGATGTCTGACTCAGGGGTCAAAGGTCAAAGGTCAAAGGTTGATGTAAGTGAAAGTAGTGCTGATGATGCTAAGACCAAACTAGCCAAAAAATTGATTGAGGAACTGGTTCCCGCTGAGAATGATGACCCAAAATTTGAAATTCCACCTGAAAGTGTGACAGTTCCAGAGGGGGAACCAGCCAAATTTACCTGTCGGGTTGGCGGCACAGATCCCACTGGTGAGAATTGGACACTTTAAGTTAACAGATCATTACTAGAACAATTCTTAAAAACCACTTCATCATGAACTTATGTATATTATTACTTGAACATTTTTTTAAATGTTTTAATTTAAATATGGATGGTATTGTTTTGAAAATATATCATGATTTAGTAATATATTGAAAAATTATCCTGTTTTGTAACAGAATAGGTTTATCTTTCATATTTCTTGCTATATGAATTAAGTAAAACTTGAACTTTTTAAAACTGTGACCAATCTTGACCATGAATACGTTTTGTTTAGATGTGTTTTGGTACAAAGTTGAGGATGAATTGAAAGAATTAGAAGAGTCTGAACAGTTTGATGTTTGTCGGGATGGGAACAGACACCATATGACAATGTATTACCCTGTTAAGGAGGATGGTGGTCAGTATATGGCTATAGCAGTCAATGAGAAGGGGAGATGCTGTCAGTATTTAGTGCTAAAGGTCAAAAGTAAGTTGTCCATGATTCATTGCAAACCTTATCATTCCATGTTAAAAAGCTTGGTCTGTCATGTTTAAAAGTATGCTTGATAAATCAAGGTTAAATGTAAGCTTCATTAATCAAGGTTAAAAGTAAGCTTCATTAATCAAGATCCATCATGGTAAAGAATTTATTTGATCAGTTAAGTTTGAAAATAAATAAAATTATTCATAGTTAATGAATCAAAATTAAAAATAAAATTGATTAATTATGACTGAAATCAAGATTAACTGTTTAATTACTCATAACTGTAGGCTTTGTTGTAAACACACTTCTTTCACTCGGAAAAAAATTTTCCAAACTCTCATGTTCATCATGAGCTTATTTAAAGACTGATGTTTTATTTGTAATTTACTTACAGAAAATACACAAGAGCTTAAAGCTCCTGAATTCCTTAAAGGCATCCAAGATGTGGAGGTCATTGAAGGTCAAGCTGTCAAGTTCAGATGCAAGGTCAAAGGTTATCCCCAGCCAAGGGTCGTCTGGTACAAAGATGGACAGCGACTGAAAAGCGACTCAAATTATAAATTAGGTCAGAACTTAATTGAAACTTAATGCTTAAGATTATCTTTAATTGAGTTCTCCATGTGAATGAGACAAAGTCTTGTCACCATTCTGTAGTAAAATATTGGATGGATAAAACCAGCCGACACAAAATGAAAAAATGGTTCTCTTTCTGTTGAAGAAATAAAGGATTTTTCTGGATTTTTAAAAATCAGAGATTGGGTAAATAAAAAATGAAAAGTGAGGAAGAAAAATCCTGATTGGAACTGAAATGCAGCTAGATGTATTTGAACGAACTTAAAATGTTCTCCATTGTCAAGTAGTCCCACTTATAAATGTAAAGTTTTGCGCTTTTGACTATCAAGTCACCACTAATTCTGGTTGTCCACTTATCCAGTCACCACTAATATGGTTGTCCCACTATCCAGTCACCACTAATCTGGTTGTCCCACTATCCAGTCACCACTAATCTGGTTGTCCCACTATCAAGTCATTAATCTGGTTGTCCCACTATCCAGTCACCACTAATCTAGTTGCCCCACTATCCTGTCATCACTAATCTGCTTGTCCCACTATTCAGACACCACTAATCTAGTTGTTCTAGTATCCAGACACCACTAATCTAGTTGTTCTAGTATCCAGACACCACTAATCTAGTTGTCTCACTATCCACTTATCTGGTTGTCCCACTATCCAGCCACCACTAATCTGGTTGTCCCACTTTTCAGTCACCACTAATCTGGTTGTCCCACTATCCAGTCACCACTAATGTGGTAGTCCCACTATTCAGTCACCACTAATCTCGTTGTCCCACTATTCAGTCAACACTAATCTGGTTGTCCCACTATCCAGTCACCACTAATCTGGTTGTCCCACTGTTCAACCCCATCTGAGAAATGTTCAGACTCTGACCTTAGTTTTTCAGACATGTATCATCATCTCTAAAATTGTCTGTAATTTCAGAGAAGTATGGTAACCGTGACTACCTGATGACAATTGACTTTGCGACGATGAATGAAGATGCTGAGTACACGGTCATGGCAAAGAACATGGCAGGGGAAGTAAAATCCAGCGCTCAGCTGATTGTGGAACCAGAACAACCAGGTCCGCGAATGGAATTACTCCAGATATAAAAACAGCAATATTTGTTATTACCTGTATATGTCTATTGATCACAGTAATTGATTGTTGATATTGGAAACTGAAATAATTAATAATTGATAATAAACAATTAATATTTTTGTTAAATATTTTAATGATGCAGTCAATTTTATTTAGATCCTATTATTATGTTACGTTATTATTTTCTTATTCAAATATTTCTACCACAACTTGAAATTTTGAGTAAGATATTATTCTTGGTTCATTTACTGTTGAAACCTTATTTTCTGTTAAAACAAAAAAAATCTAGTTTTGTTTGTAATGCACTCTAATTTGATTTTACAAATACACACTTGCCGAAAGATAATCAATTAAATTTCAATGTTTAAAAAATTTCTTTTGCAGAGGAAACCTTTAACTCAATTAAGACGTCGTTTTCACAGTCATCATTTTCTTCTTCATTCTCTGATGATAAAAGGACTAGACCCTCCAAGGAAGACCAACACATCTCTAATCTTAGTAGGAAAATGATGACAGCCAAAGGAAACGTTACAGATGTAGCAGAGGACATGTTATCTACAGCAAATCAGGTAATTCATGAGTTATGGCACTTGTTTTTGTAATGTATCATTGGAATTATTGTTTTTAAAATGCATTTAATCAATTTATACATGGAAATGTATTCTTTAATTAGTATGGCTGATTTCAAATTAATACAGATTTTACTTTGTCAAATTATAAATAAGAAACTTGTGCTGATAATTCCGGGTAATTGTATTTTCTTGGTCAACAGAATCAATTATTTTTTTTGTCTGTTATATTTGAAATATATTTTAGTTCATGATTGGCTATTATTGAGTAAAAATCTGGATTATCTCCCTTTACTCACATAAATTTGCTCAATGACAGTCCGTGAGAATGTCTGGTAAATTAACAAACTAATTCAGTACATTTCTCTCTGTTTTCATTAAATATTGAAAAAAAATTTTCTATTTTTTGAAATTTGAACTTTGACCTCCAGATTGACACGAAAATGAACTCCTATTAAAACCCAAACCATGAATTGTTTTAGATGTGAATATTCAAAACATTTGATGGTAAAATAAATATTGAAGCCATAATAAAAAATTCTAAAATGAATTGGTAGATTACTTGAATTTAAGATTCGGAAAGAATTATTTGTCATTGTTTTGAAACATAAAATTTATTTTATAATTTTTTTTTTTTTCACTTTTAGCAATTAAATTTGGTGGTGGTTTCTTTTCACCATTGTTTGTGTTTTCTCTATTGGACAAATGTTGTATGATTATTAAAGGCAGGTGATTATAAACTTAGAATTTGAAGTAATATATGCCTTAGTATAAGCTTTGTTAAAAGGTATCAGGAATTTCTTTAAAAAACTTTTCCCCTAGAATTCTGTTGGTACAAATATCTGTTTTGTGTTACTTCCCTTTATTTGAAAAAAAAGTGACCAAGTCCTTCAGGAGTTACCTCCCTTAAGTCTGTTGACTGTATTACGACCTTCCCTGGGATAGTTTTGGTTGGCGACTTTCATCATTACATCAGATGAATTTTTGCACCTGCCTAATGCTAAATATTCTTTACAGTAATCAAGTTTGACCTTGTTATAACTAAATATCTAATCATCATTTGTACAATTTTCATTTTTGGATTTTTTTTTATTTGAAAGATTTTTATTTTCTTAAAAAGTATAATTTATCATTGATTTATATCATGCTTGTTAAAGCCCAATTGCACACACAAAAATATATGTATATACACACACACACACACACACACACACACACACATATATATATATGTGTGTGTGTGTGTCTGTGTGTGTGTGTAGGTGTATATTCTTACTTTAAATTATAATCTTCGTACTTACCAAAAATGTAGACGTTACACTGCACTCTCGTCAACAGGTTTCTGAAATATCTAAAACAATAGATTTTTTTTCAAAATAAAATTTCCCAGATAGGAAAATTTGAAGAAAAAATTTCCATTCAACAAAACATAAAGCAGGTTTCAAAGGATTACTTGTTTATGGCTCTCTGAAGGGCATCTTATTTTTCATTCTTCATACCTGGCAATGAGAGTACATTGTACAAATGTTGGCAAATCCTACCTGATAATTGCTCATTATCTCACCTGATTCATTCCCATTGTCTTACTAACAGTTTTCGGAGCTCCATAAAAGTCTGGACCAAGTGGATGTTATATTATCCACCTTTGAGAAGGACATGCATTCCACTAACATTTGTAACCTTGACGACAGCTTTAATAACAATGTGGCCGACAATTTTCTGGCACATAATTTGTATAGTTCTACAGTAGAGAACTACAAACAGCTGGTGAGTCGGTTATCAATGTAAATCTTTTCATTTTGTTCAATTTTACTGATATAACAGATATAATTATGGCAGTTATTCTTGGAGGCACTTATTTAAAAGCTTTCCTTTTGTTTTAGGAATTCCAACAAATTTTAAGCAACTAGGAAACCATTTGATAAAAATCACTTGTATATTTATAAATCTGACAGTACAAGTACCTGTCCATAAAGAACACTTGCCCATGCAAAAGCTCTACAAAGACCATTATTCCATATACAGAACCTTTCTAAAGGACCTCTTTTCCGTTGGAATACCTGTATACAGGGACCACTTTTCTGCACACATTACCTATATACAGGGACCACTTATCTGAACACAATACCTATATACAGGGACCCCTTTTCTGCACACAACACCTGTATACAGGGACCCCTTTTCTGCACACAATACCAGTATACAGGGACCCCTTTTCTGCACACAATACCTGTATACAGGGACCCCTTTTCTGCACACAATACCTGTATACAGGGACCGCTTTTCTGCACACAATACCTGTTTACAGGGACCCCTTTTCTGTACACAATACCTGTTTACAGGGACCCCTTTTCTGTACACAATACCTGTATACAGGGACCGCTTTTCTGCACACAATACCTGTTTACAGGGACCCCTTTTCTGTACACAATACCTGTTTACAGGGACCCCTTTTCTGTACACAATACCTGTATACAGGGACCACTTTTCTGCACACAATACCTGTTTACAGTGCTCCCTTTTTCTGCACACAATACCTGCACATAATACCAGTTTATACTGCCCACTTTTCTGCACACTACCTGTTTACAACGCTCACTTTTTCTGCACACAATACCTTTTTACAGCGCTCACTTTTTCTGCACACTACCTGTTTACACCACCCACTTTTTCTGCTTTACCTGTTTACACCACCCACTTTTAGAACTGTCTACAAGGAACACATTCTGCAGTTTATTTCAATCTACAAGCAGAACTTTTCGGTACAAAATACATCATCAAATTTTTCAGTGCCTTCCTACAAAAACTGCTTTTTCATATGAATTACAGCTACATAAGGACCACATTTTTTTTACATTAAATACAATACAACAACAAGACAATTACTTTTTTTGTTTTAAATATCTTTTCTGTGTATAATACATATCTGCAAATATTACATAGAAACCCTGTACAGTACATTAACATTATAACTGGGGTCTAGGGATCTTTATAGAGAGGTGTTACATGTGACTAGATCTAGGGTTAAAGATCTTTATAGAGAGGTGTTACATGTGCCTTCCTACAAAAACTCTTTTTAGAGAGGTACAGTTACATGTGACCACATTTTTTTTACATTAAATACAATACAACAACAAGACAATTACTTTTTTTGTTTTAAATATCTTTTCTGTGTATAATACATATCTGCAAATATTACAGGTAGAAACCATGTGACTAGATTAACATTAAAGATCTTTATGGAGAGGTGTTACATGTTATCAGATCTAGGGCTAAAGATCTTTATAGAGAGATGTTACATGTGACTAGATCTAGGGTTAAAGATCTTTATAGAGAGGTGTTACATGTGACTAGATCTAGGGTTAAAGATCTTTATGGAGAGGTGTTACATGTTATCAGATCTAGGGCTAAAGATCTTTATAGAGAGGTGTTACATGTTATCAGATCTAGGGCTAAAGATCTTTATAGAGAGGTGTTACATGTTATCAGATTAGGGTTTATCTTTATAGAGAGGTGTTACATGTTATCAGATCTAGGGTTAAAGATCTTTATAGAGAGGTGTTACATGTTATCAGATCTAGGGCTAAAGATCTTTATAGAGAGGTGTTACATGTTATCAGATCTAGGGTTTAAGATCTTTATAGAGAGGTGTTACATGTTATCAGATCTAGGGTTAAAGATCTTTATAGAGAGGTGTTACATGTTATCAGATCTAGGGCTAAAGATCTTTAAAAAAAGGTGTTACATGTTATCAGATCGAGGGTTAAAGATCTTTATAGAGAGGTGTTACATGTGACTAGATCTAGGGTTAAAGATCTTTATAGAGAGGTGTTACATGTGACTAGATCTAGGGTTAAAGATCTTTATAGAGAGGTGTTACATGTGACTAGATCTAGGGTTAAAGATCTTTATAGAGAGGTGTTACATGTGACTAGATCTAGGGTTAAAGATCTTTATAGAGAGGTGCTACATGTGACTAGTACTAGGGTTAAAGATCTTTATAGAGAGGTGTTACATGTTATCAGATCTAGGGTTAAAGATCTTTATAGAGAGGTGCTACTAAAGATCTTTATAGAGAGGTGCTACATGTGACTAGTACTAGGGTTAAAGATCTTTATAGAGAGGTGTTACATGTGACTAGATCTAGGGTTAAAGATCTTTATAGAGAGGTGTTACATGTGACTAGATCTAGGGTTAAAGATCTTTATAGAGAGGTGTTACATGTGACTAGTACTAGGGTTAAAGATCTTTGAAAAAAGGTGTTACATGTTATCAGATCTAGGGCTAAAGATCTTTATAGAGAGGTGTTACATGTTATCAGATCTAGGGCTTAAGATCTTTATAGAGAGGTGTTACATGTGACTAGTACTAGGGTTAAAGATCTTTATAGAGAGGTGTTACATGTTATCAGATCTAGGGCTAAAGATCTTTATTGAGAGGTATTACATGTTATTAGATCTAGGGCTAAAGATCTTTATAGAGAGGTGTTACATGTGACTAGTACTAGAGACAGATAATTGTTATAGAGAGGACATGTTGTAAGTATGAGAAATATAGATAGAAATATTTTGTATATGTTTATTTGGTTTGATTATTTGATAAAATCTTTGTGAATAGGTCACTTGAAGAATTTTCTATTGAATAAAATTCTCATGATATATAATATATATAGATCCTACGATGAGCAGAATGCCATAATGAACAAATCGTGGGATACATTGCAAAAGCTCTTGTAAACCATGCTATTCTACCAGAGTGCTTGGTTTGGATTTCAGGCTAATTAGGTTCAAGGTCACATTTTGGTTTGGGTTTATTTTGACTTAAAGGCCACCATTGTATTGATCCTCAAATAACCACTAACTCATGAATAAAGCAAAATAGATTTTTAACAAATTTTTCAGGAACCATCAGTTTCCAAATAGTTGTCTAAGAGTAGTTCACAGTTGAGTCTCCCCCTACTTTAATACTAAATTTCTGTACTAGGGGCTTATTTGAGGATAAATACAGTATTTTTGGTTAAAAGTCATGTTTGATTTTTGATTCAAGGTCATATTTTATCATTTGATTTTGTGTCAGTTTAGATTCACTGACATTTTTTTATGTTGGGTTCAAGGTCACTTTTTATCTTGGGTTCAAGGTCACTTTTTATTTTGGGTTCAAGGTCACTCTTTATCTTGGGTTAAGATGTTGTTATCTTTAACTGCATGTATTTTTTGTATGACTTCTGGTGTGTCATAGATGTTAGTAAAGATGTATGGATTGAGATCTAAGAAATGATATTTTAAACACATTTTGTCGAATTATGTCAATGTTCCCCACATGTTTTTTGTAGAAAAATGCTGCTGAAAATGTGAGACATGTAACATCATCGACATTGAATGTTCTCCACTCGGCAAGGGAGACAATTGACTCTGAAAGAGAGGATGATGGTTGCCTAGCAACAAGCACCCCTCGTCAGGAGGGACAGAGTCAAATTCCCCATTTAAAAATGGAAAGCTCTGACAAAAATTCAAAAGTTCCAGAAATCTCAAAACAACCGCAGGTCCAGCAGAAAAAGTGGTACAATTCCTCATCATACCCTGTGGAGTCTTTCAGTTCCTATGTCTACCCGAAAACCTCGGTAACATCTGTGAGTGAAAATGACACTCCAAAGGATGATATCGTTTCTCGAATAGAAAATATGTCGGTGCAATCAGAAATAGTTCTTCCATCATTTTCCCTAAATGATAACAAACCTTATGATTCCCAAATCGAACAGCTTCCAGTGACTGTGGATAGTTTCAAGAGTTCATCTGACTTGAATACTAAACAGAAAGTGGCACAACAGGAAGTGGAACTACAGCAGGAAATGGCACCACCACAGGAAGCTGAATCACAACAGGAAGTGGTGCTGACAGAGGAAGTGAAATCACAGTCACCAACACAAAAGAAAATGAAAGTTGTCACAGTAGTAAATACTGGGCCAAAGAAATTAGTTAGTTCACAATTCAACAGGGACTTCTTCGTAAACGCAACGCCAACAATGTCACGGAAACATTGGGAAGTTAATACGACGTACAAGTCAACGACTCCGCCAGTCAACCGTGACAATTCCTTAGAGGAGACACAAGAACAGGTAAACTTTTCAATAATACAGTATGGATGTTGTATAGAAAGCTTTTAATAATCAGATGATGATGTTTGTATCATTGTAGTAGATATAAACCTAACTTGTTGTACTATTAAATAATGATGTAACATTACACAATATGGTTATGTACCTTGGTGCATGTAGTTCATTTAGAAGAGAAGGTTTTGTTTGATTTATCTTATTGAACAATTCCGATGGGATCGGGCACAAAATTTCCAGCTTAAATCAAGCCTTTTCCCCAAGAAGAAGTTTTTATAACACAACCTGATCAAGATTAACTTTTTTCCAAAATCTTTCTACCGTCAACTCACATTTTCTCCCTTAGGGTGCGTAGGATTATAGTACAGCTGAAAAAGTTGGTTGATACCTAACCATCTTGTACTATATGTACATCAGTGCTAGTATGCTCTACACTGGTCATTTGTCTGATGAAGGTGACTGTGTTACAAGTCATTGGTACTTTACACTTAAATCTTCAACTGGTTGTGTTATAAGAACTTCTATTCTAACGAAATTACCAATCTGAAGAAAATATTTAATAATTTGAATATATTATCATATCCTAGCTCAGTGTAAATAACAATAATTTCCAAGGTAACAGAATGTCACTAACGAAATAAGTAATCAGCTATTTCCACTATTTGTCCTGAGTAATGTCGCTTGGCTTCACAAGAAACCTGCTTTGTATGTCAAGAGTATGAAGGGGCTGTTGTGATTTATATGTATTGGATAGTGGTAGTGTGGAATAATCTGGGAATCTGAGAATGGGGAATCAGGGAATCTATCAGCAGTGGCTGGTAAATGGTCCAAAAGATCTGTAAATTATCAAAACAGTGCAGGAATGTCTCTACAATGTCTACAGATGGTTCAAAACATCTGAAAATAAGTCAAATGGTTGGTGAATGGTCCTCAAGGTCAGGGAATGATCCACAAGGTCAGGGAATGGTCAACAAGGTAAGAGAATGATCCACAAGGTCAGGGAATGGTCAACAAGGTCAGAGAATGATCAACAAGGTCAGAGAATGATCCACAAGGTCAGGAAATGGTCCTCAAGGTCAGGTAATGATCCACAAGGTCAGGGAATGGTCCGCAAGGTTAGGGAATGATCCACAAAGTCAGGGAATGGTTCACAATGTCAGGGAATGATCCACAAGGTCAGGGAACGGTTCACAAGGTCAGGGAATGGTCTTCAAGGTGAGGTAATGATCCACAAGGTCAGAGAATGATCCACAAGGTCAGGGAATGTTCCTCAAGGTCAGGGAATGGTCCACAAGGTCAGGGAATGATCCACAAAGTCAGGGAATGCTCAAAGGCCCAAAATTGTCATAGATTGATCGATCAGGTCTGGAAATGGTCCACAAGGTCATGGATTGATCAACAAGGACTAAAAGTAGACCTAAACATCTGGAAAAGGTCAACAAGGTGTGGACATGATTCACAATGTCTGGAATGGTTCCCAAAGTCTGGAAATGATTTACAATACCTTAGGATGATCTGTTTGGGACTCAATGAAGCATATAATACTTACTGGGATTTATAGCACATAAACCAACTTGCACCCCTGCAGCACCACTCCTCAGCTTTGCTTACCTAAATACAAAGGTGGAATAGACATGTTAAAATTAAATTTCATAAACCTTCTTGATGATTGATATACATAGGTAGGGTCTTTATCAGACAACTGTCCAGATATAGTACACCAACTGAAAATAGGTTTGATAAATCTATTAAGTCAGTCACCAATTGTCACACAGATCTACATGACAGCTGGTAAGGTTTATGACCTTGAAGAGAAAGTTGGTGACCTTCAAACTCAAGTTAAGGATATAGAAGAACAGAAACAAGAGGAATTGGATTTGTTAGAGGATGCTGTGGCCCTGACTGTGGCCGATGTTCATCGCACAGAACAGGATGTGAGTTATAAGAAAGTATAAAAACACGATGATGATGTGACATATAGAAAAGTGAAAAGTAAAGTTTATCTTAAAATATGAACACAATTAAGATTCATCGTGGTAAAATTTGTATGGCAATTTATATACAAAGATATACAACAGAGGTAAAATCTGTATAAAATAGAATATTACCTGTAGAATCAGACACTTATTTAGATTTAGACACCCACTGTATGATCCAACAGTTAATTAATTACCCTTGTACTGGTAACAGCTGGGACGTCGCCTTTTTCTTTTGTCATACAATCTAATATATTTCAGTTCGCAGTTTGCCATCTGTATTTCTTTATTGAATATAATTATAAGAAAATTATAAAACAAATGAAAAAAATGATACAGAAGAATGCTGATTTTTTGTGGGCTATATAAGATACATCACAGAGACGTATGGATGTGGGAGATTGGGCTGAAAGTAGGTTACAACAGTAACATAATCTTGCAATGTACATCATTACACATTGCTGCTTTGTGTGTTAACCTGCATGATGTTTATTTTCCTGCTTTTTGTGTAATAATTTGTTATTTTGTGCTTTTGTACTATATCCTTAATATTTTGGACTCATTTTCGTGATTTCCTGTGGGACCTGCCAAAATTTTGAGGACTCGCTATGTTTCTTAGTAATGGGACAAAATTTTGGAAATTGTATTCTGAAAAAAAATACACAAAAATTATTGCTTAACATATCAATATATATTCTTACTTGAGATTTTTTTGTACATTACGTACCTGAAAATTGAAAACAGTTTACTGTGTGGAGGAACGTTCTTTGCAGGAATAAAACTAAATGGTTCATAAAAGGTTACTCTGCAGAATTTTTTTTTAGCCTAGTTGTTGTTAGTCAGTTTCATAAAAGGTTACTCTGCAGATATTTTCAGGGAAACCTCTTTTCCATTTAATCTGTGGATAGATTAAAATCCCAATTAGAATGAAATCTTGAAAAATAGAATCAATAAAGAGAACTGTTTTGAGTCTGTTTTGTGACTTCTGTCAGATATACATCCTTAAAAAAAGTAAACCACTGATAGATGAATTTTACAGTAACTGAATAGATTAGAAACACATGCTATCACCAACCATGTCCTTATCCATGAGAAATCTTTTGGCCACCATTAGTTTAGTTGTATTGAATGTGTTAAGATTTATCATTTATTTAAACAGATATTACGATTAAGAGATATCTAAAAATCTTTTCCTTTTTTCGAGTGAAGTTTTATTGAATAAAAATAATCAATATTTTAATACATTTATGTTATTGCCTTCAAAACATAAAAAGTTTTCAAAGATTTTTTACAAACCACTGCTAATAAAATTTTGATTATCATTTTAGCCAACTCATGTATACAGTTCTAGTTTCATTATAACGGAATCTTTTCCAGGTATCATCTATTGAATCATCAGTGAATCAAATCAAATTACGTGCTCTTCCCACCACAATCATTGGTCAAACAAGCGAAGCCGAACTCCCAGAAAGTCGGACCGAATTAAACGAGGATTCAGGAATCAAGGAACTGCCGTCGGTAAATCGATTGAAGGCCATGTTCAGTAATCCAGCAGACGAATCTTCAATCAAAAGGGTTAGCTACCTTTGAATTTTTGTGGCTACGCTTGACTGGCGATATGGTGTAGTGGTGCATGACTGTAGTGTTTGTAATGCAAGCAAAGACACGCCTCCAAAATTTTGATTGACACCTGGTCTGGGAATTAACCCTAATCAGTAGATATACAGTCAAATATGTTATAGCAAACACAGGGAAACTCAAAGCAAGTTCAAATACAATAATCTTGAAATGTTAATACTGAAAAAATCGTTTTAAAGATGTTTGAAAAAAGATATATTGTGGTCTTTATATGTCTACACTGAACCAACCTTCTTTCATAAATTTTGGGAAAATGAAATCAGATAAAAATAGCAAGTTTAAATGATGGTAAAATTATGACAAAACAGACAACAATTATAATATAGAATACTATAGTCTGTTTTACAAAGGTTTAGCCTAATATAATCTCTTTCACATAAGGTAATCACTGGGAATTATGACAAGGATAAAAGCCATACATATAGTAAAGGGTACTATATTCAGTTTCACAAAAGGTTACCAATGAGAATTATGATGTAGATGATAAATTACAATCATAGTTTAACAAACTACAATAATTTTTTTTAGAAAAGTGCATCATTGCAAATGATGACAAGGGTAATAGACCACAATTTTTGTTTATCACATAATCTGTTTCACAAAAGTCAGTGATAATGAACTTGTTGTAACTAGGAAGACAGAAAAGTTTGAAAGAAAGTTGGTTCATATGTGATTTAATACAATTTGACTGTACTGTATATTTAAATTTATAGTGAAAATGTTACTAATGGTCAGGAAAATACAACCAGGTATTTCCAGAATCAGGAGATAGTCACATTACTGTTATTTCATGTGTATTTACTAACTGAATCAGGGATGTGTTATCTACGTCCCTGACTGAATACAGAAAAATTCACATTGAAAAAATAAGTCAGTTTTATTTATTTCAAGTTACAACATCCTTAATTCAGTTGGTAAATAGAACTTAAGATCTTTACATGTAATTGTTTCAAAGGGTACAGAATTTTAGCTTGGTTATATTTTTCTGTATTTCACAGAAAGCAAACTAACACTGAACTGGATTTTCCATGAACTGTCTGTTTTAATGTCTGTAAGATGTCTGCTTTAATGTCTGCGAGTTATCTGTTTTTATGTCTGTAAGATGTCTGCTTTAATGTCTGTGAGTTATCTGTTTTTATGTCTGTGAGTTGTCTGTGAAATGTCTGTTTTGTCTGCATATCTGTTTGAGTTAATTATCTTCCTACAATTTGTATTTCAGGAATGACCTTGACCCTGGAATGTGTTTCTATATATGCATTGGCTCATAAGAATGTCTTAATTTTAAGTCTTAGCTTAAGATTTATTCTAAGTCTTAGTAAGAGTTTTAGACTTAGTTTGAGTCTAATTTTTATTCATAATCTAAGTCTTGCTATTAACTTAAGTCAAAGTTTTAGTCAGAGTCAAAATTTTAGTTAGAGTCAAAGTTTTAGTCAGAGTCAAAGTTTTAGTCAGAGTCAAAGTTTTAGTTAGAGTCAAAGTTTTAGTCAGAGTCAAAATTTTAGTCAGAGCCAAAGTTTTAGTCAGAGTCAAAGTTTTAGTCAGAGTCAAAATTTTAGTCAGAGTCAAAGTTTTAGTCAGAGTCAAAGTTTTAGTCAGAGTCAAAGTTTTAGTCAGAGTCAAAGTTTTAGTCAGAGTCAAAATTTTAGTTAGAGTCCAACTTTGTATCGTACTCATAATGTGAGTATTTGAGTAAGCTGTATTATGTAGTTTAATTCGTTATATTGTTCTCCTGTATCTGAATTTTTATACGCCGCCGGACGCAGTCGTATATTGGCGTCATCTTCTCCGTCTGTCCGTCCGTACGTCCATTTCTTGTGAACACAACTCCTCCTAAACCAATCATCAGATTTTCATGAAACTTGCTCGATGTCACAACTACAATAGGTAGATGTGCATGAAGGGGTGATTTTACGGTTCATTGATTTTTGTAAGATTTATGCCATTTTATCTTGATCTTTATATTTTGTGGCGGCGTATATTGTGTCCATGGCGCTCTTGTTATTGAAAGGTGCTATTCACTTGTGTGTCTTTTGTACAATATGAGTCAAAGTCTTAATCTTAAATTAGCTCTATGAGAGTGAGTCATTTTCTGAGTAACTCAAATCACAGATAATATCAATAACTCTGTACTGTGAAGACTTATCATAAATTTTTAATAAAAATATTTAAAAAAAATAATACATAAAAAAAATCAAAATTAAAGGAATGTAATAACTAAAACAAGTAATCCTTAGTGTAAAGTTATTTTCTTTATTTGATTTGGGACATTCTATATTTAGGAAAGCCAGAATTTCTAATGTTCTATTAATAGAAATAGATTTGGGACATTCTATATTTAGGAAAGCCAGAATTTCTAATGTTCTATTAATAGAAATAGATTTGGGACATTCTATATTTAGGAATGATAGATTTTCTAATGTTCTATTAATAGAAATAGATTAAGGACATTCTATATTTAGGAATGATAGATTTTCTAATGTTCTATAAATAGATATTGATTTGGGACACTCTATATTTAGAAATGATAGATTTTCTAATGTTCTATTAATAAATATTGATTTGGGACGTGCTATATCTGGGAATGACAGATTTTCCAATGTTCTATAATAGATATGGATTTGGGACATCCTTTATTCAGGAATTATAGATTTTCCAATGTTCTATAAATAGAGATGGATTTGGGACGTTCTTTATTTAGGAATGACAGATTTTCTAGTGTTCTATAAATAGATATTGATTTGGGATATCCTATATTTAGGAATGATATACTTTCTTTCCTTTGTTTTGAGATTATCTTAAGACATTGTGTGTTTGTTTTTGGAAAATAAATCGATAATTGTTATCACTTTCATTTTTTTAAAATTTTTGCATATGCTTAAATGATTTCTGACACAGTAATCTGTAATAGTGTTCTTTAATGAAATTTAATAACATCAGTGAGGTATATATTCTGAAAACATCTTCAGGAAAGAAAATTGATGAAATTAAACCAATGACGTGACTTCCACTCCAACATTTGTATCTACTACTTATAATGCAATAAGTCCAATGTATCTTCTAACTCATATTAAAGGGTGGGCTTATTAGAGGACAATATGCCAGTGTGTGAACTCTGATTGCTTTCACATTCAGGAGACCAACTTATAGCAGGACAATGAAATACCATCCTCGATACTCCAGGTGTTACAATTACCCTCGAACATGTCATGGCAACCAGCGTTGGAGGTTCAATGTGTGACACGTTGTGGACAAGACGTAAAGACTAGATTGACACTTTTGATGTACTTGAAACAAATCTCAGGTCGTGTATTATAATGGCTTTGAAGGAGCGTATTAGCCTGTGATTGGCCAGTTTTTTTCTTCTGGAACCAACCGAATACTTCGCTTGTGCCTTCAACTTTGAGATGACATGTTCCAGGGGTGCAGAAAGTGAAAATGATCGTAACCCCTGTAGTATTGAGGATGATCACATACAGTAAAATCATCAATTCTCATGGGAGGAATATTTTCACTGAGATTGAGATTACTTTTAATCCATTAATTCATATGAATACAAAATGATAAACAAATAGAATTACCAAGAACTTAAGTACAAGTGGATCAAGTGATTGGTATGTATCTACAAAATAAAGTACCGACAAAAATGTATACTTTTGTTACACCATGAAAATCTGCTCCCTAAAAAAATACATGATTGACGAGCAATAGAGATGGGTGGGCTTATTACTGGGCATGGGCTCATTACTTGATGAATATTATAGAAACAACTGTAAAATTATATGATCAGTCATCACTAACTGATTATATGTCTGTATTTCCTTGTTCTATTTAGTCTGAAAGTAAAACCACAGTTTAGTCACCACATTCTTGGAAAACACAATGTATATTTAGTTGTGTTCCCTATTAGCTGTAGATTTTTTTCTTTCAGATTCTACGATAACCATACATTAGGTTCTTCACATTTTCATGCATTTTTTACAGGTTGAAATAAACTTAACTGACACTGCCTGAGGTAGCTAGGAAGAAATAAAATCATCTATTCACAGATTGTATAAATACAATCAGAAAATAATTAATGATGTAGCAGAAAAAATGTCTATATAATATTATGAAGCAAATATTTGTACAATATTTTGACTGAATAACTTTTATGATCAGGAAGTTGTAATGAGAAAAGCATCATCATTTGGATAGAAGATGAAGTAAAAACCAAACTTACATGATGGTTTTGTAATTGATAATGCATTTTGTTTGGAAAATGAAAGTAGGCTAATTTTTACCTATAAACTACTGCAGGGTGAGGCTGCTGAAGAGGTAAGTAATAGAATACAGGGTTTTCATCTGTGTGCTCTTCACTACTTGATTAATCCTACTGGGAAATAATCTATATTAAGGCTATTTCCTGTAGTTTATTGTTGCTAGCTAGCATCATTATCTATAGAAAACAAATATATAATTCCTCATTTACTGTAAACATAATTATTGTGATCAGTTATATATTAATACATTAAATATCCATTAAATTTACTGACAATGTTTTAATCTCACTTGAATGATATAGCAGCTGAAACACATTTTGAAAAAAAGTTTTATAAAACTAATTTTTCATTTGAATTGCTCCTAATATCAATTAATGATTTACTTATTCTTGCACAATTTTTAGTTTGCCAAGTCCTGTTACATAACCATAGTTATCTCCCTTGGATTAGAGTTTAACTCTGACACAATGAAAATCCGACACAAGCAGTTAATGGAGATAGCTTGGACACAAGTAGAAAAGGGCCAGTTTATATGGGGGATAACTCTGAAACAAGTGAAATCAGGCCCAAATTTATATATATCTATATATTTATATATGACGCAAGTATGATCTAAACACAAGTAAAATCTGGCCTTAGTCAATATGGGAGATAACTCTGACCACTATCACTTGAAAAACAGGCCCTAGTTTACATTGGAAATACCTTTGACACAAGTAAAATCAGGCCCCATTCAATATGAGAGATACAGTTTACTGTCACAGGATCAAACAGGTCAAAGTTTGCATGGAAAGTAACTCTTGACACAATTTCAATCAGATCTGAATAAACATGGGAGATAACTCTTCACAAAATTTAATCAGGCCCCCTTTATATTGTAATAACTTTGACACAAGTTAAAACAAGCCCAATTGATTACATGGGAAATAACCCTTGACACAATTTCAATCAGGTCCCAGTAAACCTGGGAGATAACTTTTGACAAAATTTTATCATGCCCTCTTTATATGGGAGATAACTCTGACACAAATTCAAAGAGGCCTAAGTTTACATGGGAGATAACTCTTACCATTAGGCCTTAATTCCTATAAAATAATCTGCAATGCTGCCATTTTGAGATTTAGTTTTTTTTTAGAAATTCTATTCTTTATAAGGAATATTATATTGGAATATCCTTGTAATTGAGACCTTATGTTAGTCTTATCATGGTCAATTAAAACTGATTGAATTCTTTCCAAATATGGCATCCAGAATATAAATAATAGAAGGAATGTTAACTCATCACTCTTACTCTGACAGAACATGATGACGAAGTATCTCAACTGGTTTTTCTTTTTGGTCAGCATAATTTCAACATGTTTTTTCACTTTCATTTTCCTGACCCGACATTTTTCTTCTGAAATTTGTATCTTGGTGAGAAATTTTATTTCCAGGCTTTATTTTCACTGGTTTCTCATTCTGTTCCACATTTGTTTAAATTTACTTGTTTTTTTTTAATTTAGAAGAAATTTGATTTTAAAATTCATTTTATGGTAAAGAGACTTAATTTTCCTTTCTTTCTACACAGTAGTAGTTTATGAGGGAAACGTTTGATGAACTTTTTACTATAAAATGTTGTGGATGATGGAAATAAAATGAAAATAGTACATATTTTTAAAATCGTTTTCAGTGATTGAAATTAAAAATCTTTGTGCTTGATGTAGCTTTACAATTCTCCACTAATCCTTCACAGACCACAGTGATAAAGTTATAGTGAAACCACATCGTCTGTTGATAAGTAATCCATGTCTCCAGTATATACACACTGTATGGTGTCGCTGAAACCAAAATCTCAATTTGACCGTCATTTAAGGTTCCAACAATACTAGTCAAGTAAAAAAAAATTTATGATTAATTTTCTGGGCATTTATTATATATATTGTATTGTGCAGGTTATCTTTGTGAAGCATAATGTTTCCGACAAATAATTTCCTTAGGACAAGGAAGCAACACCTAAAATTCTCAAAAGTTAAAATCTTACTTTCTTTGCAAATTAAATATCATGAACATTTATTTGTAAAAGAAACATCTAGATACAATATGGAACCTTACATGTTGGTCAATTCATTTAACTTCTGTTAGATTATTGTTTATTTTATGTAGATATATATATATGTATATACACCATATGAAAAATATATCAAATTAGCTAGTGCCATTCTATTTATGAATGCCAAAAACAAACATCAAAATTATATTTTATTTAGGGATGTAGATTAAAACAGTAAAGAAATTAAGATAATTGACATTTGAAGAAGGTTTTACTGTAAAACAAAAAATGACATTATAATTAAGTTTTACTATGTTAAAAAATTATCATTATATCAAGGTTTTACGGTCTGTTGAAAAAATTGGCATTAACACATGGTGCGACTATGTTGAAAAAATTGGCATTATCACAAGGTTTTACTATTTTAAAAACTCACTTAATAATGAGGTGTTACTGTCTGTTGAAAATAACAAGGTTTTACTGTATGGTAAAAAAAAACACATTTTAACAAGGTTTTATTGTCAGTTGAAAAAAGGCAATCATTAAAAGATTTCAGCCTCATGAAAAGAAAACAGAAGATTTTAAAAGTTTTTATTATATCAACAGTGGGTATTCTGTAGAGGTTTTCGTAATGGGTAGATGCTTTCATGTCAAATGCAGTTCTGATGATTTTCCACAATGTACTTATGTTTTTGGATAATTACTCAGAATAGCTTTATTTATCCTACATTGAAGATCAGTAATACCATTGTGTGTAAGTTATAAAATTTCTCCTCAATTTTACAGATTTTACTTTTCGGTTCTGGTTATTACAAATAGTGATGCTGATATTTTTTTCTAAATGTAATGATAATTCATGTGACAATAAAACAAAATTCATTCAACAAATGGGTTCTTTTTATTTCAATATCAAAATTCATATATTATTAAAAAACTTTACAATTTCTCATTAAATGTAAATTATTATCTGAAAGTTGTTTTTATTTATTTTTGAAATATTTGATTTTCCTATGTATTTTTGGTTGATTTTTTTAGGTACACAGCATCACTGCAAGAACTGTACCAAAAGAAAAATTAGAAAGGTTCAGAAAGATGTCATCTTCTGATCTGGATGAATCCCTTGGGGAACAGCAAGGAAGAACAAGTCAGTTGACCGTAAACCTTGCCCCAACCCCAAAGATCACGATTCGTGATGAACCGAAGCAAATTTTCCCCGAAACTAAAGGTGCAACATTCCCACTCTCAGTACCAAAGCAGACTTCATTGAAAACAACTGCTACATCTCAGGTCAAAGTTCAACCAAGGACACAAGCTCCAGTAACACATCAGAAAAAGATGGCGCCACAAACGCCTACCAGCCAATCAGGTGAGGCGACTGTGAAAAAACCTGTTGAGAAAAAAACAACACCAAAAATCCGATCAGGGTGTATTGCTGCTAGGGCAAACTTTTGGGAGAAGAAGATTCAGGATCCACAGGATGTTTTAGAAGAGGAGTTCCCGGATATGGTCGTCCATGTACAGGAATAAAATTACATTAAATTAAGGTAACTTACATTTTTACAAACATTCTAATATTAATCTGAATACAACAATTCTCCTGTATTTACGTTCAATAAAACTTTATATCTTATATTAAGATAGGCAAAATCTAGTGTGCCACCTCCTCCCCATATAGTACTGTAAAATACCACACTCTATGTAAAGTCTGCCCCAGTGTGGCCCCCTACTGGTACTGTATTTACCTTTGATAATACCACACTCTATGTAAAGTCTGCCCCAGTGTGGCCCCCTACTGGTACTGTATTTACCTTTGATAATACCACACTCTATGTAAAGTCTGCCCCAGTGTGGCCCCCTACTGGTACTGTATTTACCTTTAATAATACCACACTCTATGTAAAGTCTGCCCCAGTGTGGCCCCCTACTGGTACTGTATTTACCTTTGATAATACCACACTCTATGTAAAGTCTGCCCCAGTGTGGCCCCCTACTGGTACTGTATTTACCTTTGATAATACCACACTCTATGTAAAGTAGTGTGGCCCCCTACTGGTACTGTATTTACCTTTGACCACACTCTATGTGGCCCCCTAAATTTACCTTTAATAATACCACACTCTATGTAAAGTCTGCCCCAGTGTGGCCCCCTACTGGTACTGTATTTACCTTTAATAACACCACACTCTATGTAAAGTCTGCCCCAGTGTGGCCCCCTACTGGTACTGTATTTACCTTTAATAATACCACACTCTATGTAAAGTCTGCCCCAGTGTGGCCCCCTACTGGTACTGTATTTACCTTTAATAATACCACACTCTATGTAAAGTCTGCCCCAGTGTGGCCCCCTACTGGTACTGTATTTACCTTTGATACTACTACACTTTATGTAGTCTGCCCCAGTGTGGCCCCCTACTGGTACTGTGTCTACCTTTGATGATACCACACTCTGTGTAGTCTGCCCCAGTGTGGCCCCCTACTGGTACTGTATTTACCTTTGATACTACTACACTTTATGTAAAGTCTGCCCCAGTGTGGCCCCCTACTGGAACTGTATTTACCTTTGAGTTTGCCCCCCCCCCCTCCTCCTGCTTGGTACCAAATTTACCTTTGAGTGTACCCCCCTCCCCTCCTTGGTACCATATTTATCTTTGAGTGTGCCCCGCCTGCTTGGTACCATATTTGTCTTTGAGTGTGCCCCCCCCCCTTCCTTGGTACCATATTTACCTTTGATAATGCTGTATATGTGTAATTAATACTCTTTCATAGTTATTATGTTCATTGATTCTTGTCTCTGTTTGCAGTTAAACAATCTCCTCAACAAGATGCACTAATCTCCTGATTGGCTGAGGTGCCATCACATAACCTGTATGCTGTCTCCTGATTGGTGTTGATGCTTCACCACTTGATACACCTGTCTCCTGCTTGGCTATTAGATTTCATCGGGTGACCATTAAACGGTTTTCTATTTGGCTGAGTTTCCATCACATGACCAGTAATTTTCCCTGATTGGTCTGTGCTCTTCCAATTCACCGTTATACTGCTCTGAGCTTCATGAAGTGTTTCATTGTTTTCGCACAATCCTCAGAAAATACAAACAATTCATATTCAACAAAAGTCTTGAAAACCACATAACAAGTCTAAGTATGATACAAACATTTGTGAGAATATATTTCTATTGATGAATGGCCAATGATTATTTTGCATGTGCCAATACACTAAACCGTTTTATTGTCTTTTCTTTACTCAGCTGTAAGGTGATGAGTTCGAATCTCCACACACATTTCACTAATAAGTTTTGAATTTTGTAACAGATGGTGGATTGGAAAAGTAGCTACTATACTTTAATATATGTTGTCAGCTAAGCATTACTCAAGAATTATCTAGAATGTGATCATTTCCACTCTGACAAATATTAAAGAGTTAAAATATGTGTAGATCCTGTGAATCAGGGGAGACAATCCTTGTTTTTAATTATCCTATACATAGGGATGGCAGGATAATGATTTTCTATCAGTAGATAAACCCCTATCTCTACCTTCAAAGTCTATCCCTGAAGTAGGCACTAGTAAGTAGCCTTAGACCTTTAACCTATGTAACATAAACAACATTTAAACTTTACCCCTCACTACATTAAGACTAACCTATGACTTCTAACCTCGCTACAACAACATAACATTTGACCTTTACCCTTTGCAATATCAGGCTAATTTTTGCTGCAATCCTATGCTGCATCTGGTTAACCTTTGGCCTAACCTACAAAATGCTATATATACCTAACCTTTGAACTGAACACCATGCTATTTCAACCTAACCTTTGAACTCTACCCCATATTAAATAACTCATTCAATATGCTTTACCTGTAATCTGTAGGATTAGGTGGATTAGTTGTAGTACAAAAAGCTTGAGAAGGTTATTTTCTATATTAGGTCACCTTTGCCCAGCATCCTGCAACTATAAACATTTTCAAGTTCATCTCAAAAACCCCTGAACTAGCGTCAATGAATCGTCAGAATCCTTCCCGGGCCTAATATGAACCAAAATAGTGAAATATACATTCCCAACCCCAAGGGGCCTGATGGGCAGGGTCAAAAGGGGTCAAATAGAATTATATTTAAAAAATCTTCTTTTGAAGACCCAGATATAGTAGAAGCAGATGCTTTTCATAGATGGAAGGGTCTCACATTTCTGCCTTGGGAGGAGGTCAACTTTACTATAATTTTGTTAGAAAAATTGCATTTTTGAGCACAACATTTATTTCCCATTGTTTTGATGGTATGCATGTATTATCTTTTTCATGACACTTAAAAGCAACTTTCCCTTTAACCTTTTTATTCAATATTGCTTATTTCAGGAGACTGTCAAGGCCTGCTAGGACTCTTGTTTAAAATATTAGTGAGGATGATAAGGTGGGTACAGGGTAGATATGGTAGGTATAGGGTAGATATGGTGGGTATAGGGTAGATATGGTAGGTATAGCGTAGATATGGTGGGTATAGGGTAGATATGGTAGGTAGAGGGTAGATAAGGTGGATTTAGGGTAGATATGGTAGGTAGAGGGTAGATATGATGGGTACAGGGTAGATATGGTGGGTATAGGGTAGATATGGTGAGTAAAGGGTAAATATGGTGGATACAGGGTAGATATGATGGGTATAGGGTAGAAAGGGTGGGTACAGTGTAGATATGGTAGGTATGCTGGGTATAGGGTAGATATGGTGGGTATAGGGTAGATATGGTGAGTATAGGGTAAATATGGTGGGTATAGGGTAGATATGGTGGGTATAGGGTAGATATGGTGGATATAGTGTAGATATGGTAGGTATAGGGTAGTTATGATGGGTACTGGGTAGATATGGTGGGTACTGGGTAGATATGGTGGGTATAGCATAGATATGGTTGGTACAGGGTAGATATGGTGGGTATAGGGTAGATATGGTGGGTACCGGGTAGATATGGTGGGTACAGGGTAGATATGGTGGGTACAAGGTAGATATGGTGGATACCGGGTAGATATGGTGGGTACCGGATAGATATGGTGGGTACAGGATAGATATGGAGGGTACCGTGTAGATATAGTGGATACATGATAGATATGGCCTTGACAGAGTTACAGATATATTGGTCAGGTAGATATAAGAAATGTTGGAGATATATGGTCCTTACTTCCCTCGAAACTGCTTTAAATAGCACCTGTTGATTTTACCTGTCTGTAAAAGTCTATATTACAGATACCTCTCTATATGGGCCACTTACATATTACAAATTCTTGTCTGTAGAGATTGTATTTCATACCTAATTCTTGTCTATAAAGGCCGCCTTTGTACCTAAATCTTTTCTATAAGTACCACTTGTTTGTAACAAATACCTGCCTATAATCCAACATTGATTGTTTTTTTTTTGCATCAAAACAAACAAATGTACATATAAATAACATTCTATTACAAGCCATCTATACATAAAAAATCCTGTCTGTAAAGGTCACCAATATATAACATATTCCTGTGTATAAAGACCACTTCTATATAACAATACTTGTCTGTAAAGGCCATTTCTATATAACAAATACCTGTCTATAAAGGCCATTTCTATATAACAAATACCTGTCTATTAAGGCCATTTCTATATAACAAATGCCTGTCTATTAAGGCCATTTCTATATAACAAATACCTGTCTATAAAGGCCATATCTAGATAACAAATAACTGTCTATAAAGGCCATTTCTATATAACAAATACCTGTCTATAAAGGCCATATCTAGATAACAAATACCTGTCTATAAAGGCCATTTCTATATAACAAATACCTGTCTATAAAGGCCATTTCTATATAACAAATACCTGTGTATAAAGGCCATTTCTATATAACAAATGCCTGTGTATGAAGGCCATTTCTATATAACAAATACCTGTCTATAAAGGCCATTTCTATATAACAAATACCTGTGTATAAAGGCCATTTCTATATAACAAATGCCTGTCTATTAAGGCCATTTCTATATAACAAATACCTGTCTATAAATGCCATTTCTATATAACAAATACCTGTGTATGAAGGCCACATTGATACTCTGGTATACAATTCCTGTCTATAAAAGTCACATATACATGAAGGCCATCTGTATATTACTAACTTCTGTTTATATAGAAGATCAGTTATACATAACACATACCTTTCTATAGAGGTCACTTTGATTTAAGTGGTATGTATTTGATCTTGTAATGACCATTTCATGAAGTCAACCTGTCTAGAAAGACCACTGTCTCTCTTCCATTAATTGGCCATTTTACACAGGTTTGATTGAAGAGTTGTACAATGTAATATACATGTAGCACAACTGATTTGTACCAGATCTAATACATAATATACAGTTTAACAATGTTACCTCTGGACCACAGGAAAACTTCCAAGTTAGACAAAATTTCAATGTAAATGGGTTTGAATGATTTGCTTGAAGTTTGGCCAGGATATTCAACAAGTTTGAGATAATGAGGTTTAATTGTATTACTGTGTGTATGTAAACAGTGTATAACAGGACAGATATAATTAGTTTAATTAACAAGTTCTATGTCATATCTAACATATAAACTTACAATATGTACAAAGTATAAAAAATGCCAAAACATAGTAATGTTGTTTATTTTGTGGTAGAAAGTTTCTTGTTGAAGAAAGGTTAAATGTGCTCTAGTGGTAATGATGTGGTTTGTCCTCAGATAGTGTAGAAATACTGATATTAATTACATATAATAGTGTTAACAAATCAGCAATTTTCTAAATCACCAGATATACGTATATTTATAAAATAAACAGATATTGTAAGATATATATTCTTGTTGACAAGTTACTGACATATTTTTGTTTTCTATTTAAAATCATGAATAAGATTTTTTTTTGTAAATATTTTACATCATCATCATACCAGAGTCATTTATAAAAGTTTATATATTATTATACTGAAACTATCTGATATTAAGAAAACAGTACTTGTATGATATTGTTTATGTGCAATACAACTGCCGCAGTAAAAAAAAAAACAGTTTTATGAAAATAAAATTGTGAAAATGTTAATTGTTTGTTGAATTTTTTGTGTGGACATACATCGTTCTCAAATTTCATGTGTATGTTTCTCGTTATCCATAGTTCTGCTTTTAAGAGGCTAATCAGAAAAACAAACTGACTGTCAGTGGTGGCCATCTTTGATTTTGACTATGAAAGTTTGTTATTTCTTGAGAAGTAATGCATGGATCTTTATTTCATAGATCGGTTTCCCTTGGTTTTAACAAATACAAATAAAACTAGAAACTGTCATTTAACGATTTTTAGTTAATTGACCTTGTGGCCTTGAAAGTGGGTCAAGGTCATTTATATTATCAACCTTTGTTGCCAGTTACATATGCTTCTTATATGTGAAATATAGAGCCTCTAGGCCTTTCAGAACTTGAGAAGAAATTTATCAAAATTTGGTGCTCTAAATAGCACTTTTCAACTTTGTTCCCTACCGAAAATCGGAAGTTGATTTGATGGAAGTTTTTCTTGTATCAGTTGATAGAGAATATCCACCGAATATTTATGTCCAAACTTAAAGACTTTGCGCAGCTTAACAATTGAGAAATTACCATTTAACGATATTTACATAATTGACCCCTGTGACCTAGAAAGTGAATCTAGGTAATTTATAATATCAAACTTTGTTATCAGTTACATATCTTTCTTGTATATGAAATATCAAGCCTCTAGGCCTTCCAGAACTTGAGAAGAAGTTTTTCAAAGATTGGTACCCTAAATAGCTCTTTCCAAATTTGTGCCCTACCGAAAACTGGAAGTTTTTCTTATGACAATCAATAGCAAGTGTCCACAAAAGGTTTATAATCAATTTTCATCATTGTGTGCCTTCTAGAAAGTGAGAAACTGTCATTTAATGATTCTTAGTTAATTGACCTCTGTGGCCTTGAAAGTGGGTCAAGGTCATTTATATTGTCAAACTTTGTTGCCAGTTACATATGCTTCATATATGTGAAATATAGAGCCTCTAGGCCTTTCAGAACTTGAGAAGAAGTTTGGTACCCTTAATAGCACTTTTCAACTTTGACCCCCCAACCGCAAAACCGGAAGTTGAATTTTGAGGAAATGTCCACAGAATATTTATGTCCAAAGTTGAAGACTTTAACGATTTTTACATAATTGACCCCTGTGGCCTTGAAAGTGGGTCAAGGTCATTTATATTAACAAACTTGATATATAATTAAACAGACATCTTACACTTGAAATATCAAGACACAAGGCTTTGCAGAACTTGAGAAGAAGTTTGTAATTGAAAATAACACTTTTGAACTTTGACCCCTACCGGAAACCGGAAGTTGACCTTTGATCCCAGTTTTTTTCTTGTGGAAAGTCTTTTCTTTTTAATTTACGTAATATGATTAAAAGTGAGGTCACTAGCTTAAACAGTTCTTGAGTTACGGCATTTTAGGTAAAATCGGATATGACGTCATGGCGGCCATTTTCTTTTTCCGATGAATTTGAATATATCACTAAATGGTAGAAGACATCTGGGGAAATCTTCTCAGTAACAATTTGATAAAATATAGCCCATCAATATTGATCTAGAAGGAGTTTTTCCCATTTGTCGGCATTTTTAAATGATCAAAGAAAATTTTCAAAATGGCGTACAGCGGAAATGGTAAACGTTTCAGAAGAACTGAAAACTCTAAATTCATCGCAGGGACGTTCTGCATCGATCTGAAGAAGAAAATTTCAAGAAAATTCAAAATTGGAAAAAAAAAAAAAAAAAAAAAATTGTTAAATTTAGATAAGGAAATTCTCTACATATAATATAATTGCACAAACTCTCCACATTGAATGGTTTTTAAGTTACAGCAGTTTTAATGTTTTTAGTTTATGACGTCATGGCGGCCATATTGGATGTTTGACCTATTTGAAAATGTTCCTGTGACACCTTCATTAAAAACATACTAACAAAACCATCAACCTTTCTTTCACTCTTCTAAAGATAGAGACTCCACAAAATACGGACGAATAAAAGAAGAATAAGAAGAAAAAGAAACTTAACGAAAACAATAGGTATTTTCATCTTGTACATGTACCTATCCCGTTACATGTACACAAGCATAACGAGGAAATATACATAGAACTTCCATATTGACTGAGGACATCACAGGTAACGTTTGTGTAACCATACTTGATGAAACATTCTTTGTTGTCGCTGTGATCGTAGTTGCTGGAGCGTTGTTTGTTGTCTGTGTTCTGTTTTCGTAGTTGTGGGGGCTTTGTTCTGTTTCGTGGTTGTTGTTGCTGTGATCGTATTTGTGGGAGCGTTGTTTGTTGTTGCTGTGTTCGTAGTTGTTGGAGCATTGTTTGTTGTCACTGTGTTCGTGGTTGTGGGAGTGTTGTTTGTTGTCGCTGTGTTCGTGGTTGTGGAAGTGTTCTTTGTTGTCAATGTGTTCATGTTTGTGGGAGCGTTGTTTGTTGTCGCTGTGTTCGTAGTTGCTGGAGCGTTGTTTGTTGTCGCTGTGATCGTAGTTGCCGGAGCGTTGTTTGTTGTCTCTGTTTTCGTAGTTGTGAGGGCTTTGTTTGTTGTCGCTGTGATCGTAGTCGCTGGAGCGTTGTTTGTTGTCGTTGTGATCGTAGTTGCTGGAGCGTTGTTTGTTGTCTCTGTTTTCGTAGTTGTGGGGGCTTTGTTCTTTGTTTGTTGTCGCTGTGATCGTATTTGTGGGAGCGTTGTTTGTTGTCGCTGTGTTCGTAGTAGTTGGAGCTTGTTTGTTGTCAGTGTTCGTTGTTTGTTGTCGGTGTGTTCGTAGTTGCTGGATTGTTGTTGGTTGTAGCTGTTTTCGTGGTTGTGGAAGCGTGGTTTTTTATCACTGTGTTCATGGTGGTGGGGTTTTGTTGCTGCTGTGTTCGTGGTTGCTGTAGCGTTGTTTGTTGTCGGTTTGTTTCTACATGTGGCAGTGTTTGTTGCTGCTGTGTTCGTAGTCGCTGGAGCGTTGTTTGTTGTCACTGTGGTCGTAGTCGCTGCAATGTTGTTTGTTGTCGGTGTGATCGTAGTCGCTGGAGCGTTGTTTGTTGTCGGTGTGATCGTAGTTGTTGAAGTGTTGTTTGTTGTCGGTGTATTCGTAGTCGCTGGAGCGTTGTTTGTTGTCACTGTGTTCGTGGTTGTGGGAGTGTTGTTTGTTGTCGCTGTGTTCATGTTTGTGGGAGTGTTGTTGGTTGTCACTGTGTCCGTAGTTGCCGGAGCGATGTTTGTTGTCACTGTGTTCGTGGTTGTGGGGGCTTTGTTTGTTGTCACTGTGTCCGTAGTTGCCGGAGCGTTGTTTGTTGTCGCTGTGATCGTAGTCGCTAGAGCGTTGTTTGTTGTCTCTGTGTTCGTAGTTGCCGGAGCGTTGTTTGTTGTCTCTGTTTTCGTAGTTGTGGGGGCTTTGTTTGTTGTCGCTGTGATCGTAGTCGCTGGAGCGTTGTTTGTTGTCGTTGTGATCGTAGTTGCTGGAGCGTTGTTTGTTGTCGCTGTGTTCGTAGTCGCTGGAGCGTTGTTTGTTGTCGGTGTGTTCGTAGTTGCTGGATTGTTGTTGGTTGTAGCTGTTTTCGTGGTTGTGGAAGCGTGGTCATGGTGTTTGTTGTCTGTGTTCGTAGCGTTGTTTGTTGTCGGTTTGTTTCTACATGTGGCAGTGTTTGTTGCTGCTGTGATCGTAGTCGCTGGAGCGTTGTTTGTTGTCGGTGTGATCGTAGTTGTTGAAGTGTTGTTTGTTTTCGGTGTATTCGTAGTCGCTGGAGCGTTGTTTGTTGTCACTGTGTTCGTAGTTGCCGGAGCGCTGTTTGTTGTCACTGTGTTTGTGGTTGTGGGGGCTTTGTTGTCTGCGCTGTGATCGTAGTCACTGGAGCGTTGTTTGTGTCTCTGTGTTCGTAGTTGCCTGTGTTCGTAGTTGTTGTCCTGTGTTCGTAGCGTTTGTTTGTTGTCTCTGTTTTCGTAGTATGCCGGAGCGTTGTTTGTTGTCGGTGTGTTTGTAGTTGCCGGAGCCTTGTTTGTTGTCGGTGTGTTTGTAGTTGCCGGATTGTTGTTGGTTGTAGCTGTTTTCGTGGTTGTGGAAGCGTGGTTTTTTATCACTGTGTTCATGGTGGTGGGGGCTTTGTTGCTGCTGTGTTCGTGGTTGCTGTAGCGTTGTTTGTTGTTGGTTTGTTTCTACATGTGGCAGTGTTTGTTGCTGCTGTGTTCGTAGTCGCTGGAGCGTTGTTTGTTGTCACTGTGGTCGTAGTCGCTGCAATGTTGTTTGTTGTCGGTGTGATCGTAGTTGTTGAAGTGTTGTTTGTTGTCGCTGTGATCGTAGTCGCTGGAGCGTTGTTTGTGGTCTCTGTGTTTGTAGTTGCCAGAGCGTTGTTTGTTGTCACTGTGTTCGTGGTTGCTGGAGCGTTGTTTGTTGTCGCTGTGTTCGTAGTTGCTGGATTGTTGTTGGTTGTAGCTGTTTTCATGGTTACCTTTGACCTCTTATTTATAATTGAGTTTAAATGCAGAATTTTAGAGTAATTTAATTGATGTTTAATGAAGTTTAAATGTTTTTAAAACTTATTTAATGATCATGACTTACCGCTGACAAAATCAAGCTAGAAAGGGAGACAACTGATACAAACAACTGAAGTAGGACCTGTGTGTTCAATCTTCCTTTCAATTATTAGCTCACCTAGCCCTAATGATGATATGAAACAAGAACATGATTGAAATTTTGAAAAAAAAAATAACCCCTCCCACTCCAAATGTGATAAATGATTGAAAAAGATAATTTGATTTGTGTGGCCAAAAACCTGTTAAATCAAAAGAGCAGACCTGCTTCAGAAATCAACTGAATGCACTATGCTATAGTAAAGAACATTGGAGGTTTATGTATAATGGTGAAATTCAGTGACGACAGGTAGAAAATGTTTTTATTAAGTGAGTATACAGCTGTCATTAACACTAAAGTTAGGAAACCCCAAGTAACATGTTATCTGACTTCCTGATTCAGATCTATATCTGTCTTAAGGTCACCTGTGTATAAAGACCACCTGTTTATAAAAGCCACTTTTCTCTACTCCCTTGAATAGACAGGTTTGACTGTATATACTTCTCTGGTTTGAAATGCAGGAAAAGCTTAATACTCGTGAATGAGGTCCAGAATAAGGCCATTCATTTTAACTTAGACAAGGTTTGTTTTATTCATGGTGTGTATGTGTGATTTTACATATTATAGATTTGGGTAGGGTGTCATCGTGACTGAGCAGGGATGTCAAGGTTTAGCTTTTGTTTCTCGTAATAAAGATGTCTATGTCTTCTATATGTGTGTTGACTTGTTATATTTGTTATACAGGACTTTTTTCCTGGTAAATACTAGCATCAATATACCGCTCTGCTAGAGATAACTTCTCGTTAGCTCAATTAGTTGAGTGTCAGACTAGTAAGCCAAGGGTTCTGGGTTTGAATCCTGGCTGAAGCATTGAAATAAATAATGACCTTTGTTACTTGGTGTATCTTCAAACTGTCCTATGTTCATGGTGTTTTTGTTAACAATTCTTGTTATTGCTTTCTTGAGAGGTCCTAGATGCATATTGGTTGTGAATTACCCATTTTTGGGACAGTAAACAGATGGAGCGGTCCTTAGACACAGTGCTATACAAAAGGTGATGGAAGATACGTAGGCATCGATGTCCTTAGTGATGCAGAAGGACGAATAAGGAAGTTGCCTAGATATCTAGTACTACAGACTGTGACAACAACAGGCAGATGAGAGAGTCGACCAGCCCCTGGTTCAGCCTGATCCACCTAGCTAGCACATCTGGAGGATAACTTGTAAAATGTAAAATCGTTTAAAGCAGAAGTGACTGTCCAGCTTAAGATTACTTCAGCATATTCAAGGTTTGAATAAAAATATTTTGAAACAACAAGTATTAAGTCAAAGGTATTGACAGAAAATTTGAAGCTGCATTATTAACAAAAAAACTTTTAAGAGTAAGTGATTTAAAGCAGTATTTCTGATGTTAAAAATACTGTTTGTCAGTATGAATACATACCAGGCATGTCACTTTTATGAAACAAAAGAGACTTACTTTTCCAGTGCCACTGGTCTTATTCATTCAATTTTTCATGCTCATCAAACACTTTGACAATGGATGATGATGAGACATTGCCTGTCCCTGCTCCAACCGTCCATTTGTCCATCATTAACTTTTATTTGCTTGAACATCTTCTACCACAGTGCTACCACTACAACAGTCTATTTTGTATGTTCCATATTGCATTTTGCAATATTTACTTGAAACTTTTCTTATTTCAATTCAAAACGTTGATGGTAAATAAAATTAATGAGATTAACCAATGAAAAGATTGTAAAAATTTTATTCCTCGCTTTACACCAACTCAAACAATGTTAATAATGAACTAAAGAAGATTTAAATGCATGTTGAATAAAGCCAGACATCTATCACATGCTCATTACTGACACAGGTGTCACATCATTACAGACACGGGTGTCACATCATTACAGACACAGGTGTCAGAAAATTACAGACACAGGTGTCAGATCATTACAGACACAGGTGTCACAACATTACAGACACAGGTGTCACATCATTACTGACACAGGTGTCACATCATTACAGACACAGGTGTCAGATCATTACAGACACAGGTGTCACATCATTACAGACACAGGTGTCACAACATTACAGACACAGGTGTTACATCATTACAGACACAGTTGTTACATCATTACCGACACAGGTGTCACAACATTACAAACACGGTTGTTACATAATTACAGACACAGGTGTTAATTCATTACAGACACAGGTGTCACATCATTACAGACACAGGTGTCAAATTATTACAGACACAGGTGTTAGATCATTACAGACACATTACAGACACAGGTGTCACATCATTACAGACACAGGTGTCACATCATTACAGACATAGGTGTCAGATCATTACAGACACAGGTGTATTAAAGACACAGGTGTCAGATCAGTACAGACACAGGTGTTAGATCATTACAGACACAGGTGTATTAAAGACACAGGTGTCAGATCATTACAGACACAGGTGTCAGATCATTACAGACACAGGTGTCAGATCATTACAGACACAGGCGTCAGATCATTACAGATACAGGTGTCAGATCATTACAGACACAGGTGTCAGATCATTACAGACACAGGTGTTAGATCATTACAGACACAGGTGTCAAAATATTACAGACACAGGTGTTAGATCATTACAGACACAGGTGTCAACATTACAAAAACGGGTGTCACATCATCACAGACACAGGTGTCAGATCATTACAGACACAGGTGTTACAACATTATAGACACAGGTGTTAGATCATTACAGGCACAGGTGTAACATCATTACAGACACAGGTGTCACATCATTACAGACACAGGTGTCAGATCAGTACAGACACAGGTGTTAGATCATTACAGACACAGGTGTATTAAAGACACAGGTGTCAGATCATTACAGACACAGGCGTCAGATCATTACAGTCACATTACTGACACAGGTGTCAGATCATTACAGACACAGGTGTCAGATCATTACAGACACAGGCGTCAGATCATTACAGATACAGGTGTCAGATCATTACAGACACAGGTGTCAGATCATTACAGATACAGGTGTCAGATCATTACAGACATGTCAACAGACACAGGTGTTAGATCATTACAGACACAGGTGTCACAACATTACAGACACAGGTGTCACATCATTACAGACACAGGTGTCACAACATTACAGACACAGGTGTCACAACATTACAGACACAGGTGTCAGATCATTACAGACACAGGTGTCACAACATTACAGACACAGGTGTCACAACATTACAGAAACAGGTGTCAGATCATTGCAAACAAAGGTGTCAGATCATGCCAACACAGGTGTCACATGATTACATGTACATGAGACAGATCATTGCAAACAAAGGTGTCAGATTATTATAGACACAGGTGTTGCATCATTACAGACACAGTTGTTACATCATTACAGACACAGGTGTCACAACATTACAGAAACAGGTGTTAGATCATTACAGACACAGGTGTCAGATCATTACAAACACAGGTGTCAGATCATTACAGACACAGGTGTCACATCATTACAGATACAGGTGTCAGAAAATTACAGACACAGGTGTCAGATCATTACAAACACAGGTGTCACAACATTACAGACACAGGTGTCAGATAATTACAGACACAGGTGTCAGATCATTACAGACACATTACAGACACAGGTGTCAGATCATTACAGACACAGGTGTTACATCATTACAGACACAGGTGTCACAACATTACAGAAACAGGTGTTAGATCATTACAGATACAGGTGTCAGATCATTAGAGACACAGGTGTCAGGTTATTACAGACACAGGTGTCAAATCATTACAGACATAGATGTCAGATCATTACAAACACAGGTGTCAGATCATTAGAGACACAGGTGTCAGGTTATTACAGACACAGGTGTTAGATCATTACAGACACAGGTGTCACAACATTACAGACACAGGTGTCAGATCATTACAGACACAGGTGTCAGATCATTACAGACACAGGTGTTACAACATTATAGACACAGGTGTTAGATCATTACAGACACAGGTGTCACAACATTACAGACACAGGTGTTAGATCATTACAGACACAGGTGTTAGATCATTACAGACACAGGTGTCAGAACATTACAGACACAGGTGTTATATTATTACAGACACAGGTCTCAGATCATTACACACACAGGTGTCAGATTATTACGGACACAGGTGTCAGATCATTACAGACACAGGTGTTAGATCATTACAGACACAGGTGTCACAACATTACAGACACAGGTGTCACAACATTACAGACACAGGTGTCAAATCATTACAGACACAGGTGTCACAACATTACAGACACAGGTGTCACAACATTACAGACAGAGATGTCAGATCATTACAAACACAGGTGTTAGATCATGCAGACATAGGTGTCACATGATTACATGTAAATGAGACAAATCATTGCAAACAAAGGAGTTAGATCATTACAGACACCTGTGTCAAAACATTACAGACACAGGTGTTAGATCATTACAGACA